ACACATGTGTAAATACTGAATAGTTTCTCTAGTGTGAGAAACTGAAAGTGTAAATAAGGGTTAAAATGATTAAAATGAATAATTGATAATTTGAAATAGGAAAAAAGGTCCAAAGAGGTAGGGGTGAAGGAAGGGGAAGGGGAAAGGTAGGAAGGGAAAGGAAAAATTATGAGAAAAGGAAAAAAAATGGAAATGATGTCTATGTAAATAGGGAAGGATGGAGGGGGTAAAGGGCGCACAGGTAATGGGGAAAAAATAAGAATCAAGATACATCATGTACAGGTAGAAACACCCAATGATAAATGTAAACGTACTGTATACCTAAAATGTACCAACAAAAGAACTTAAGAATAAAAAAGGAAAAAAAGAGTAAGTTCCCCTTTTGGCTTTTCTGGGTCTAGTGTTGTGAATCACCTAAGGGCAGCAGCCAGGCAGGCCATAAACTGGGCTGGATTTTCATTTCTGTACTGAGTGGCCTCTGAGTTTATCAAAATTGACCACTTTATGGGCCACCTTGCGAAGTCCACCTACTAGGTAGGAAATCATGTGCTCCCGACTGGCTATGTCGTGGGATCCTGCCTGATAGTTCCAGTGTGGGTTCTCTCAGGGGGCCCTCTGGAAGTTTGGGCTGAAGTTGTCTGCAGTCATCCCCACAGGACTGGGTCAGGGAGAATACTCACTCCCATTCATGTGGGAGACAGTGGAGCTAAGGATGACATTTAAATCAGTCCAAGTGAAGGATATGACGGGGTCAGGTACTGAAACTCTTGATAGATTGGGTGGGGTCTCACAAGGAACCCAGACACTGACTGATGTGGGAGAGGTCTGACAGAGAGAAAGGGACTTGGACTATGCCCTCTGCTCCTGCCACTCCACGGAGTGGGAACTGAGGATTGGGGGGTGGGCAAGAGAGCAGGGCCAAACTGTAGTCCAGACCACGTGTGGGTTGGGGTGGGGCTGGGTAGAGCATATGGAGGAGGTAGAGTCAGGGGGTGGTGTTGGATTGGCAGGAGATGTGGCAGGGGTTCCTGGGGCCAGCAAGGTCCGTTGGATCTGTCATCAGGAAGGAGTTGGCATCAGGTGGGACTGGAGGGAGTGATGATGGGAGGCAAAGAAGGATTTGAGAGGAGTCACAGGAAGGGCAGAGGGTGGGGAGGTTATGGAGTGTAAAGAATGCCTGGACAGGGCCGGGGATTTAGCTCAGTGGTTTCACCACCTGCTGCGCAAGCGCAAGGAACCCAGTTCGATCCCCAGTACCTCCCTCCCCCAAAAAAAGAATGCCTGGACATAGGGTACCTCAGACCATTTGCTCAATTTTCAGCAATAATTATCTATATCTTGCAAAGTAGAAAAATCAAAGGTGCCATTTTGCAGCCCTTGGGAGCCATTCTCAAGCTTTATTGTGGCCAAGTGGTTTTAAAAAATATATATTAGGCTTTTCAGATCAGGGGAGAAGCAGAAAGGTTTTTGGTTTTTTAGGAGACAGGCTGGGGGGAAGGAGAGGGGAATAGGGTATTACCCACAGAAAGTAGAGAAAGGTAATGAGAGCAGCAACAAGGGTCCACAGTGGATGTCTACAGGTGAGACTCAGGGCCATAACATAACACGGGTGGGTGACCAAGGCAGGTTTCCCCACGGTTGGCCAGACACCAAGGGAAGACTGTCTTCCCGGAGAATTTCCGTGACCAGTGCTGGATTTAAGAAACATGGAAAGCAGAGCTGGGGATTTAGCTCAGTGTTTCTGCTGCCTGTCTTGAAAGTATAAGGTCCTAAATTCGATCCCCGGTACCAAAAAAAGAAACATGGAAAGTGGAATGACCTCTCTCTGTCTTGGCAGGTGAGGGGATAGAGGGAAAAGTCTAACCCAATCTGAAGTAGTTGGCGAGGACAGTCTGGAGCACGGTCTGAGGATCTGATGTCACAGGGAGGCCTTGTGAGGACAAAAGGCTATAGGTAGGGCTTCAAAGCCCTCTAGTGAGGGTCACCCTATCCTGGTATCGGCAGCACCAGATGTATTGACGGTGCAGAGAGCAGAGACCACTCAGGCAGGATTTGTATGAGCAACAAGGCTGATTATTCCGCTTGGGTGCGAGGGGGCTGAATTTGAAAAGAGTCAGTGCTAGGTGAAGGGAAATCAAAGGGTTTAGAGGGGAGGGGGTTGCTGGGGGTTTGTCCGGGGAGGAGATGCTGCCTTGAGGAATTTGGGAGGGCCAGAGAGAGTGCGGTCCTCTCAGAATGAACACTGCAGATGTAATCAAGATTCCTGGAACTGAGGCGTTGGGACATGGTGTCTTGTCTTTGTTTTTCTTTGAGGTTTCCTGCTATGTTTGCCAGGAATGGTCTTACCTGTCTGGAATGACACAGTCCCCTATGGAGGGTCTGCCTGAGAGTCATCTGAGCTACCAAAAGACACTCCGGGCAACAGTGTATGGGCATGTTCTCAAGAAGACAGCAGTGAGCAGGTGGTGTCATTGATACTCATGAGTTAAGTCAGTGGGTAAGAGTTTGAAGGGCAGAGAGGATCTCTAGCATTTTAGCCAGAGAGAGGAGTAGCCAGTACAAAAGCACCCAGGAAAGACTTAGGCGAAAGGAAGCAGGGCCGGTGGGAAGCTGAAGGCCCTGCAGCCTCGGTCAGTCCCTCAGGGTTGAAGTCCCTTCTACCGATCCCTGGATGGCAGCAGAGTGAGTTTCGAGACAGGAAACAAAGTGGAACAGTTCAAGTGTTCACAATCTCCCAACAAGGCCAAACCCAACACCCCCCCCCTTCCCTGTCATTTAGTATGAGAGAGCCCAGCACCTGACCAGCAGGCACCAGATGTCCTGGATGTCCTGTCCAGGCGCCAGTGCCTATGCCTCAGTCAGGACTCAAGACTCGGCCCTGAGCAAGGCCTTGGGAGGAGGTGGGGCACAGCAGGGTAGGGAAGGGGGTACACCAGGTGCAGCTGGACACTCAAAGATGGGTTTCCCACCTGAGACCTCCAGCTCCAGCTGGTGGCCCAGAGCCTCCTCTGTCATTGGCCTGGACAGGAGGCAGAGGCCAGTGGCAAAAGAAGTGGTGCATGCCCCAGAGGCACCGTGCCCTGGACTCAGCCACTCTGGCTGGTGCCAATCAAGATACTTTTCTGAATGGAGGAACAGTCCTGGTGGCGGCAGGGGCCAAGGAGTGGGCCACTTCCCTATCCACCAGCTTAGTTCAGAGCCTCCCCACTCTCTCCAGCCCAGGCCGTGAAGAACACAGCCTGCCTGCTGGCCACCCGAAACACATCCGGAGTCAAATACAAGGCGAGGAAAAACTATCTGATGCACCCTTGCCCCAGACAACCTTGACTTTATAACTGAACCTAGAACCCCGGCGGCGTCCTCATCTCACCTCTGTCCCCGGTAGCCCCTCCCGGGTGACCTGCTCGCTCTCGATTTCAGTCAGGCTGAAGCTGCCCTGGAAGCTTGCTGAGTGGGCAGTCCTCGTCAGTCCGCCAGGCCAGCGCAGGGTGGGGGGAGCGCGCAGGATCCGCGCCCCAGACCCACGCTGTGGCTCAGCTCTGACCCGCTGGCGCTAAGTCAAGAGACCAAGCTGGGAAGGCCCGGTGGTCCCAGGGCCAGCTGGAGCGGTCCGCCGTGCCCGGACGCCGCAGGCCCAGTGGTCCAGGGAAAATACAGCGCGCTGAACCTGTGCTCGCGAAAGCGCCGCAAAGAGGACCCACGCTCCAGCACCACCCCGCTCTCAGCCACGCCCCCCACCGGCAGCCTCGCGCATGCCCCACAGCGCCCACACATGGCCCGCCCCCGCGCAGGCGCCCGGGGCCGGGCCACACGCCCCCCACCCCGTGCGTGCGCGCGCCCGGTGCGTCTGCGAGCGCGTCCTTCAGCCATGGCGTCGGAGCGTCTGCCCAGCCGGCCCGCCTGCTTGCTCGTGGCCAGCGGCGCTACCGAAGGTGAGGCGCGCGGAGCGGCTGCCCAGGCGCTTGGCTCGGGTGACCCAGAGGCGGCCGCATGGGCCGGAGGAGGCGGGCCGCGCCGCACCTGAGGCCCTTCCTGGGCCCTGCGGCCCGGAGCCGAAGCTCTTGCAGGAGAATCGAGGTTCTGTTCGCTGCCCGTGTCCCCTCGGGGGCGGCCTGTCTGCATCCCGGTCCCCGCTTCTCCAGGAAGCGCTCCGGGAGGCCCGGGGTGGGCCCTGGACGGTGTTCTCTGTCCCCGGGAGATGTCCAGTGCCCGGCGCGGGGCTGAACGGCAGGGCTCGCACTTTCCCCGGAAGATGCCTGGTTCCCGTGGGGGGGGACCCTCGGGAAAGCAACCAGCCTGTGGCCCTGCTACGGGTCATGGAGTCAGGGCTGGGACCCAGGGGTCTACATGTGGATGTCTGTTGAGTGTGGGTGAGGGAGAGGGGATGGCTTCGTGGCCTGCCCTACTCTGGGCTCCCCATGGTATCTCCCGAGGGAGGCAGGAGGACCCCAAGGGGGCACGGCGCAGGTGTGGGTCTTGATTGTCTCCAGAGGCTAATGTGAGCCCTAGGGAAGGCCTCCCCAGGACATGGGGTGGGATCGTGGCTCTGAGGAGGCCACTAGGCTGGGTGCATGGTGGTGGCAGGTGTAGGGAGTGGGAGTTTTGGGGAAAGAGTGTGGGCAGAGTCTGGGGTGTGGTTTGGGGACTATTTACTCCCTGTGTGAATGGCTGGCAATGAACATGCCTTAACTTAAAATGAAAATGAGGTTCAGGGATTGCGTTTCGGAGTTGAACCAATGTAGACATCTGGGTGCTGTAGAAGGCGACATGGGTCAGTGCTTCTTGGAGTCCAGGCATAGGGCTATGGTCTCCTGGAGCCTTCAGGACTGGGCAGACCTGGTTCCTTTCAGAGGGTCCCTTGATGGCAGAAAGGGCCAGGGAACAACGTGGAAGGGGCAGAATCCCAGAGCCCTTAGGAGGAAGGGCTCAGGACACCCTGTGCTCTCCGGCCGCCCCTCATCACAGCCTCATTTCCGTGGGCACAGGCCTTGCTCACTGCCTTTCCCCAGCTGTGGGCGCCTTGGACACTGGGGTGCTGTGAGAGTGGGGTTTGCCTTTGGAGACCTCTGGCAGTTGAGTGTGAGGATGAGGGAGGCTGGGTGGTGTGGAGAATTGAGGGGGACTGGGATCCGCCCAGCTTTGGCCAGGGCCTGAAGGCGGAGTCCCAGGCTTGGGATAGAGCCTGGCTGTGCTCCTCTGACTTTGTCCTTTGGGCTTCAGCTTTTTGGAACTGAAGGGCTCCAGGGCACAAGGAATAGCTTGCTCCTAAGGGTGGATTTGGGACCAGTAGCGCACCAAGGGTGGCTGCCCTGTCATACGTGTACCTCTTCTGTAGGTGTGTCAGCCCAGTCCTTCCTCCACTGCTTCACACTGGCCAGTGCCACCTTCAACTTGCAGGTGGCCACCCCTGGGGTAAGTGCAGCCCTGCCCCCAGTGAATGCTTGGGGTCCCCACCTCTTTGGGGTTGATGCCAAGAGTGGGGAGCAGGGAACCCTTTGTGGCCCTGAAGGAGCTGGCTTGGGGTGAGGGTTCTGCATCCAGACCCAGCAGCAGCCTGAAGCCCTGGTCCCTGTCCCTGGGGTCTGGCCTGACTGGTGCACGGGAGGCCTTTTCACTATGATCTGCACTTTTGCACAGCTTCAAGTGGCAGGTGGGATTCAGTCTAGTGGAACTAACAGGCACTTCTAGTAGAAGGGATTCTGCATCCTCTGGGTAGACACTTGCAGCAAGGAGATAGTGTGTGGTTCTGACTTTGCACATTTGCTTTGGTTTGGTTTGTCTGTTTATTTTGGAGTTATGGGTTGAACCCAGGGCCTTACACATGCTAGGCTATCCCTGTGGTGCTGAGCCGCATACCCAGCCCACTTTGCACCTTTTAGCCATCTCCAGGGTGGGGGTTAAGAGGGGGGAGGGATGGGATAAAATAAAAAATGAAATTAGGCTGAGGATGTAGCTCAGTGGTGCCACCGCCTGCCTCGCAAGCGCAAGGTTGAGTTCAATCCCCAGTACCAATAAATAAATAAATAAATAAATATAACCCTAACCCTAAAAAAAAAAAATTATATATATATATATATATAATTTTAAAAAGCTAAAGTCATCTCTAAGGTGAATGGGATGGTGCTTGCCACTTTTATAAGTCTGGACCCACAGCAGTGACCCCAGTGCTCACCCTTGGCCTCGACTCTGCCCTACAGGGGAAGGCCATGGACTTTGTGGATGTGACTGAGAGCAATGCACGCTGGGTTCAAGACTTCCGTCTCAAGGCCTACGCCAGCCCTGCCAAGTTGGAGTCTATCGATGGTGGGCCAGGATGCATTCCTGCTGGGCACATGTTCCTCTCTGGGTGGGGTACCTGGGATCTTGGAGCGTCAAGGGCTGCAGATGGGTTTGGGGCATCAGTGCACGTCCCCATTCTGCCCCTCCAGCCACCCTGGGGCTTGCTCTGAAGCTCTGTGACTGGGGCAGCCTCGGTTCATACCCTCAGCTCTGGAGCTCCTGCACTGCTCTGGGGGAGGGATAGGTAGGTCGGCTGTCCCATGGGCTCTGTATACGATATGTGATGCCATCTGGTTGGTTCCTGTGGGAGGTCTGCCCTGGCTGTGCCCTTGGGACTGAGTAGTGGCCTCTGGGCCTGTGGTTCCCCCTAGGTGCCCGCTACCACGCCCTCCTGATCCCCAGCTGTCCTGGTGCCCTGGCTGACCTGGCCAACAGTGGGTCCCTGGCCCGCATCCTGCAGCACTTCCGGTCTGAGAGCAGTAGGTCACAAGAACTGGGGGACAGGCTGGCTGTGCGGGTGGGGTTGGGTGGCTGGTTCAGGTTCAGAACTGGGCACAGCTGGTCATTTTACCAGCCAGTTGGACTTGCATAGAGAGCTGCATGATCTGCCCGGCTAGTAGACAAGTTTGTGTGCCACTTACACAAGAATGCAACCCCTAGATGTGCTTTATGCTCCAACAGCCCTGGCTCCGGAGGGCACTAGTGGCTGTGCCCTCCTGGGCCCGTGTGTGAGTGACTGGGTTGCTGGCCGGGGTCCAGGTGGGCACACACTGTGTCCATTGTGATGAGCAGGATGCTTGTCAGGGACCAGCACACAGACAGGCTGGGCTGCCATACAGCACACTTTGTTGGGGAGAACAATCTCTGGGCCTGGACAGGCAGCCTCCTCAGCCGTGGGAACTAATGCAAGCTAGGCAGCCTCTGAAGAGGTACCAGCGACCCTGCTGCGAGGTTGGGGCACTCCCCGGATTGCTTGTCCCCCCAGCACAGTCACTTTCTCTCTGCACCAGGACGGTTTGTAGATAGAGGCAGCGCCAGGTGCCTGTCCTTCATGTGCATCTTGGCCCCAAACCTGGAATTACCTGGGCCCTAAACAAACCCTGGCACTCAAGCCCACCTGAGGGGGAGGATGGTTGCCGCACCTCTAGTGGGGTGTGGGTGGGTGTGCCCGGGCTGGTGACCGGAGCTCAGGCTGCTTCACTGCTTTCAGAGCCTATCTGTGCCATTGGCCACGGTGTTGCCGCTCTGTGCTGTGCCACCAGCGAGGATAGGTCCTGGGTGTTCCATGGCTACAGCCTGACAGGGGTGAGTGTCTCTCAGATGGGCCAGCGTCTTCAGTCAGATTCTTGCAGCACTGTGACCCTGCCATCCCTGTACCCAGGGCTGCTGTCCTCTGAATGAGGACGTGTGTCCAGTGTGACAGGTGCTGAGCACACACAGGCAAAGTCACCCACTGAAGTTCTCACCCTGGGTCACCAGCCTGTCTGTCACCCAGGTGCCCTGATGCTGGGGGAGCCAGGCCCTCTGTCCATAGTGGCGTCAGGGCCACCTGTGGGGGAGAACAGCAGACTTTGCCTTGTCCCTGGCCTTCTGCCCCAGAATCCCCTCCATCCTCTCCCTCTCCTCATCTACATACTGTGGGTGAGGCTCCTGCTTTGGTGTCCCTATCTGTCCCTCAGGGCTAGCCTTGGGGGCAGGGGAGGGCCTTGGTGGGGCCAGAGCTGCCAGGGCCATTGTCTGGCTCAGGCCCACGTCCCCACAGCCCTCTGTATACGAGCTCGTCAGGGCCCCTGGCTTCGCCCGGCTGCCACTGGTCGTGGAGGACTTCGTGAAGGACTCTGGTGCTGGCTTTAGTGGTGAGCCTCGCATGCCCCTAAATGCCCAGGTCTGGGTGTGCCCTCGGGGAAGCTGGCTACACCTGGCCACGGCTCTGGCCAGGCAAGCCAACCCACTCGGGTCACTGGGTGCTCAGCGGGTGGGAGTGGGTCTGGGGGTATCAGTGCCTGAGCCCTGTGCCCCCCGTCCTCCTAGCCAGCGAGCCTGATGCTGTGCACGTTGTGCTGGACCGCCACCTGGTCACCGGGCAGAATGCCAACTCCACTGTTCCTGCTGTACAGAACCTGCTGTTCCTCTGTGGCAGCCGGTGAGGTTTGGGAAGGCCTGGGCTGCACCTGCCCCATGACTGCTCCTCTGTGTGCAAGTGCCAAGCCTTGACCACGTGTCCATCCTGCAGGAAATAAGTCTGCCAACAGATGCTGCCCCTGTGACGTGGCCTGGGTGCAAGGACCCACTGTTCCCCACCTGACCAGGGGCCCTCAAAGGGGCCATGTGCCGGACTCCTCTCCGAGGATTGACCTGAGGGCTGTCAGCCCTCTGGAGGCCACGCCTCCCTGGCCCGTTGGTCCCCAGCATGGTCTCCTCAGGTGGCCCAGGGATGACCCTGAGTGCTGGTGGCCAGATAGTTCTGAGAATTCCCTGTTTTGCATTCCTGGAGAAGTGGAGTCCGCTATGGGCATCCTAGGATGGCCCCACCCTTTAGCTGTTGGCCCGTGAGAGGCTCAGGGCATCCACCGCTGGCCAAGGTGAACGAGGTTTGTTCACACCACAGCCCCACACTCCTGCTGCGGCTGGGATGGTGCTGGGGTCCTCAGTGGACCCAGTGATGTCACCGAGGCCCACGTGGCATCAAGAGAACCACACTGGGGCCAGGGATTTAGTTCAGTGGTTTTGCCGCCTGCTGCGCAAGCACAAGGACCCGAGTTCAATCCCTGGTACCAAAAAAAAAAAAAGAAGAGAGCCACACCGTGAGGTTGTTCAGAGCCATTCCCATGATGGCCAGAGCCGGGCTCCAACTGCAGACGCAGCCATGGGCGGCTTGGGCTCTGCTGAGATGGGGAAGCTGAGTCCTGGCCCCCGGGCCCTGCACAGGCCTTGGCCAGGGCTGAGGCTGCACTGGCCGCCCTCCTGGACACGGTGCATTTGCTGTCCGTCCTGACTGGCACCCAGCCTGACCCCACTGAGCAGCCTGCCGGCCCTGAGTCGGGCTCCCCTGCAGCTCAGTCCCCTCCCCCTGCCCCAGGTGGGGCCTTCCCTTTCCTCCTGAGCCTGTCCTCCTCAGTGTGACTGGCTCTGCCACAGCTGTCCCCAGGCACCAGGATGGCTCTTTGTGACAGAGATGGGGGTGTTCTATAGCTTCAGTGAGGAAATTCAGGACACCATGTAGGCAGACAGCAGAGCAGCCCCACTGCTCCTTCTGTCCAGGATGAGTTCGCAGAGGCTGTTGTGGGTCTTGGGCTGCCCAATCCACTCATGTCACGTGTACATCTTAATGAAACTTTTCAGAACCTAGTCATGTTCTATCTTAGTCCATTCAGGCAGTTGTAACAAAAAGCACAGACTGGGTGCTTTATAAAGAAAAGAAGAGCATTTTCCGTGGCTCTGAAGGCTGAGTATGAGGTCAGGGGTGGCAGATCTGTCTGGTGAGGGCCTCCTGGCTCAGACAGCTTCTGGCTGCTCTTCGTGGTATCAGGGTTGGGAGCTTCGTGGGGCCTCTCCTATAAAGGTCCTAATCTCATTCATAGAGGCCCCTCCCTGGCCTGACCAAAGGATCTACCTGCCACTGTCACCGTCATCCTGGATTTCTGGGGGACGCCAGCACTGAGACGGGCAGGGAACCCAGTGTGACATCTGCCAAGCACTTCTGTTTAGGCTGGCTGAGCCCCGCCTTCTGAGGCAGGCCTGTGGGTGGAGGTAAGGTGGCCCCCACTGTGCTCGTGCCCCAGAGGCCAGGGGGCAGGAGGAGAGGAAAAGGACGGAACGTCCAGGAGCAGCACCAGCCAAGTGGTGGGCTGCCCCAGTGCCTAGGCTGTTCCTAAGCAGAGCCTCATCACCATAAAAAGTGGTACATGTGTATTCGTGGCAGAATTATCACGAGAAAGGGACAAATGGGCTTCCCTATGACAGGTGTCATGGTATCCTTAATACTGCCAGTGTCTACGCACAGGAAGGAAGGTGATGCACAGTTACCCAGGCTGGACCTTGGTGCTGTGAAAGAAGCATAACCAAGAGCCTTGTGATTCTCTTTATACGAAATATCCAGGAAACAAATCAAAGACAAAGTAGGTCACTGCTGGCTGTGGGTGAACTCGCATTTGGGAACTATACCCATAAGGCATGTGCATGACCTGGCCTTGTCCCTGCTGCTGGTCTCCCTGGAAACACCATTGTCCCTGGGCTGCTGAGCAGCAGGGGGAACCTACTAGTGGCCATGGCGTGATGGGGAGGGGCAGCGTGCCACCTGGGTTTTGACCTCTGCCTGCTGCTCTGCCTCAAGCCTGCCTCCTTTGGTGCCCTGGGCAGTGCAGGTTAACACAAACTGGGCCAGGATCCTAGGGACAGAGCAGCTTGTGGGTGGGTTGGACAGGGGCGGAAGCTGACCCAGGGCTCTGCCCTGTTCCTGACCATCAGGTGGCAGCTTGAGGCCTCTCTCTAACCAGAGCCTGCTGTGCTTAGGCCCAGGCCCTCCTTGATTGCAGGCCCCACGCCCTGCTCTCCTCACAGCCTGGCCTGGTGCTAACGCCCTCACCTCACCTGTTCCCCAGGAGCCAAGGGGTCCCTATGGGCCATCCAGGCACCCCATGAGCACCTCCAGGTCTGTGTGGTTTCAAAGCTGGCAGCAGTGCACTGCCATCCCTGTAAGGTGACGCCAGTGCTCCCCACAGGCATCTGGCCTCCTGGCCCTGGCTAAGGACAACAGTCTGCACTGAGGAGGCCCCACACCTGCACCCTCCCCAGCCTGACACAGCCCTGGTATTTGGCTGAGTGTGTCCCCGCCCCCCGCAGGGCAGCTCTGACTGCCCACACACGCTACAGGCCCAGGGTAACAGGGATACCTTCAAAGTCAAGGTCTGGGGCTTGATGATGAGCACTGCTCTAGCTTGCTAAGGCCCTGGGTTCCACCCCTGCACCAGCTCAAGGACTCCCACCACCTGGGATCCGGGTTCCCAGGGCGGCCCAGCTGAGGCAAGGGCGACAGCTGTCAGGGTCACCCTGACTGGTGACCTTGGGGCTCTTGACCCCAACTCCAGCTCCCAGCCTGGCCCAGATCATAGCCAGTGGTACTAATAGTGACTGAAGGCAAAATGAAATTCGGGCACAGGAAAAGCAACTGCTTTAATGCATTAGGGAAAGTTTTATGTAAAATCAGAAACCTATGATCCATTCTTGTCCAACTGCTAAAAAAAATGGAAGATTCCACGAAGCCTTGCACAGTGGGACCCCAAATCACAGGCAGTGCAGGTCTGGGGTCTACTCGCTCCAATGCATGCTATTTCCCATTCTCCGTGCTGAACATTTGTTCCTGGAAAGGAGCAGAGTGAGCCATGCGTGGCCCTCACCAGCCCGCCAAGGCTATGGTGTGTGTGCCCAAGGCCACCCGCAAGGAACTCACCGTCAGCATCCGCTCCAGCTTCACAGCATCAGCAGCAAACTTCCGGATCCCCTCAGACAGCTTCTCCACAGCCATCTGGTCCTCGTTGTGCAGCCAGCGGAAAGACTTCTCGTCCAGGTGCATCTTCTCCAAGTCACTGGCCTGGGCTGCAGAGACACCCCACCCTCTGTGCATGCTGGCCCAAGGCCTAGCATCACCATCAACTCACTTCCCACAAGTCTCCGCTGGAGGGAGGGAGGGAGGGAGGACTTGGCCAATGACCTGAGTGAAATGCACAGGCAGACCCACCCCTCCCGTGTCCTGAGCAGCACCCACTGGTGGGACCACAGCCTCACAGGGAAGAGCAGTGGCTATGCCTGGGCCTGGGCCTTACCCGCCTTGGCTGAGAGCATGGGCACCAGCTTGCTGCTGTCTTTGAGCAGCTCGCCCAGCAGCTTGGGCGAGATGGTGAGGAGATCGCAGCCGGCCAGGGCCTTGATCTCAGCCGTGTTGCGGAAGGAGGCGCCCATGACGATGGTATGGTAACCAAACTTCTTGTAGTAGTTGTAGATTTTGGTGACACTCTTGACCCCTGCAGGAGACCTCGCCATGTCCCAAGAGGCCCTGGGCCCCACCCCATCCTGCATCCCCAGCCCTGCCCTCTCCCATGACCTTAGAGGGCAGCTCACCAGGGTCCTCCAGTGGCTCATAGGATTTCTTGTCCGTGTTCGCCACATGCCAGTCCAGGATGCGCCCCACAAAGGGGGAGATGAGTGTCACGCCCGCCTCAGCACAGGCCACGGCCTGGGCGAAGGAGAAGAGCAGCGTCATGTTGCAGTGGATGCCGTGCTGCTCCTCCAGCTCCCTGTGGGGACGGGGAGTTGAGTGCAGGCCACGTGCTGCCGCAGCTCCAGGACACGGCCGTTCCCACGTGTGAGAGGCTATGCCCTTGGCAGAGGGCAGAGGGCAGAGGGCAGGGCCCACCCCGTTAGGGTTAAGTCTGATGCACTCCGAAGGGTTGAGGCAGTGGGTTACGGTGACCAGGAGGCAGCTCCCCACTGCCCACACCACAGCAGGGCTACAGGCAGGACAGGTGCTGAGGGTCCGTGTGCCTGTCCCTGACTCAGGGACCCCAGTCCCCACTGCACAGCTCCCACAGACGGGGGTCCCCACACCATCTCTGACCACAGTGGGGACTTACCCTTCCTGGTCCCCAGCCCAGCAGCCATCCAGTCCACCGAGGAAGCCCTGGGGTGGATTCCCCCACGGGGCTGAGCTGGGATAAGCTCACCCTCCAGGGGCTGCTCCAGAGACACCCCACCAGGGGGCCACATGGGGAGTCCAGGGGAACCTGTCAGTCTGCAGCCCTCAAACCATGTGACTAGCAACGGCACTCAAAGAATTTGCCCATGAGAAAAGAACACAAATGCCCACACCAGTGCACATCCACGCCCACAGCCCTGAAGCCTCTGGCTGACTCCTGGGTGAGACGCTTCACGGCAGTTTCCCTTGGATACTTACCTTACCTGCCTCTTCCACTTTGAGCATGTTTGTATAACCCTGGTTTGCTTTCTGTACACTGTGCAAACTTATAGACATGAAGAGGCTTCCTGACCAGTGTGAAGGCACACTGCTGGGTGGGCCCAGCGAGCTCAGCACCCAGCCCCAGCCGAACCCAGAGCCACACCCTAACAGCTCCCAGAGGCAGCAGCACTCACCTTCCAGCCTGGATTCCCTCCCAGGTGGATGACAGCTTGATGAGAACTCTGTCCTTGCTGATTCCAGCCTCCTGGTACAGTTCAATGAAGTGCCTGGCTCGGGCCACCATGGCATCCTTGTCAAAGGAGAGCCTGATAAAGCAAGGGGACCACATGCCCTCTGGTCACCAGCCAAGAGCAAGGTGCCTGGAGCCCTGGAGAGAGCCCTCAGCAGCACAGTGGCCAGTTATCTTCATGAGGAGCCTTAGCAGGGAGCTCCCTGCCACCACAATGGCCACAGGGGGGCCCCAAGGAGCAAACCTTGTCCTCCCCACTGTCCCTGCCCCCAGGGACAGAAATGGGACCAAGGTGGCCCAAGAGCACCCCGTCCCACATCAACCCTGCCAAGCATTCCTACCTCGCATCTACTTCTGTGGATACACGGCCTGGAATCTTCTTCAGTATTTCTGCTCCAAACAACACGAAAAGTTTATCAATAGCATTTTTAATTTGGTCCTCTTGTGACCTGAAATTCCAAGGAAAAAACTAGGTTAGGAGCTTGTGAGAATACACAGGAGCTGAAGAAACAGCAAGATTCCTTTGCCAAATTTCCCTCTATATGTTTCTTTTTCTTTTTTTTATGTTTCTTTTCAATTCTAAAATCATTGTCTTGCTGGGCATGGTAGCACATGCTTGTAAGTAACCCCAGCACTCTGGGAGGCTGAAGCAGGAGGTTTCCAAGTTTGCGCTCAGCCTGGGCAATTTACTGAAACCCTGTCTCAAGATTAAAAAGAATTCTTTTAAAGGTCGGGTGATGTATCTCAGTGCAAAGGCCTTGGATTCAATCCCCAGTAACAGTACCAAAAAACAGACAAAACCATTTTCCATTGTGTGAATTGCACCTCAATAAAACCTGACTCTAATAGTGATCTTTTCGTCCTCTCCTGGGCTGCACAGGCAGACACTGGATGCAGGGCAGGTGCTGCTCCAGAGGGAACAGTCCAAGGGTCCTCTCATCAGCCCACTGCCTGAGACAAGACTTCACCAGTATCCTGTGCTGCACAATGGGGCTAGTGGATGTGGGAGCAGAACTACCCAAAGCAGTTCCCGGGTACTAGGAGTGGAGGGGAGGGAGAGACCCAGTGTGCAGAGCAGCTGTCGTGTGGTCTGGGGGACTTGGCAAGATGTCAGCAAGACCCACTCCTGCTGGGAGCCACACCACCTGCTGGGCCAGGCACTGCCCCGAGCCATGTATCACCACTCAGAAGGGAAACCAAACCTACAGAAATGGAGGCTAGGTCTGTGGCTGCCCGGGTGCGAGCCGCACCAGTGCAAACAGGCACTGGGGCAGCTCTGCAGGTGCAGGTTCTAGCACACACACAGTGCAGCAGTGCTGCACAAGTTTGCTAAAATAATAAATGATTGCCAGAAGCCAGAGCAGTATTCAGGAGCCGTGGAGTCTGACCAGAGGCAGAGGGAGTCAGGGTGCCACCAGTGCTCCCTGCCACACTGGGTGATGGCTACCTGTGCAAAGCTCACTTCAGAAGCCAATGAAAGCCAGGCATGGTGGTATATGCCCATAATTCCAGTCACTTAGGAGACTGAGGCCGGAGGGTTACAAATTCAAAGTCAGCTTGGACTCCATAGCAAGACCTTATCTTAAAACAAAACAAAAACAACAAAAATGTGCTAAGAAGCAGCTCGGTAGTACAGCAGCCCTGGCTTTAATCCCTAGTGCCACAAACCAAAAGGACAGTATTGGGTAGGGAAGGCAATAGGCCAAGGAGACCAGCGGCGCCTGCTGGCCCAGCCACACTCACCCGCCTAGCTTCTTGCCGTAGGCAATAGCCTCGTCCACTAGCCCTTGGTAGGCAGGCATCTGTGCCGCAGCCAGGATCAGGGATGGGTTGGTGGTGGCGTCCTGGGGCTTGTACTCCTCGATGGCTGGGGAGATCATGGTTGGAAGCAGGAATGTAAGTGGGGCATCCGCTTCCACCCAAACCCTCCACTCAAACCCAGTAGGGGGGCCCTGCAGCAGACCAGAGCAGGGCACACAGACACTGCCCTAAGCACTCCCTGGGGACAAGGCAGAGAGGCAACTAGAGCTCAGAGCCCTGAGCCCCACACCCTACACGTCAAAGGGAGGCCTGAGGACGGCCACTGAGAAACGTGTCCTGTGGTTCCGTGGCCACTAGGCGGCGCACTGGCCCCCAACCAGTGACAACACGGTAGACACGGGTGGCAACAAATGCTGTACTTTTTTTTTTTTTTTTTTTTTAACTACTAAGAATTAAACCCAGAGATTTCACACTTAGCTACATCCACAGCTCTTTGTATTTTTTGGACAAGTTCTCACCAAGTTGCTAAATTACCCAGGTTAGGCTCCAGTTTAGGATCTTCCAGCCTCAGCCTCCCAGAGGGCTGTGATTGGATTGTCTAACACCTTAGTCCTTTCTCAGGAATCCAAGATAGCAATGGGGTCTAACTGACCCACCATCCCAATGGAGTATGCGTGGGAGGAACAGATAAAGTGCCAGTTTTGCCAAGAGATAAACTTATTCTTAATTGATAGATTAGTCTTTTCATTCTTCTTTTTTTTTTAAATGGTATTGAAGCCAACCTGGGGCCTTCCCACTGAGCTACATCCCCAGTCCCTTTTTTATTCTTTACTTTGAGACAGTCTTGCTAAGTCACTAAGTTCCCCATGCTGAGCTCCTTAGGATCTTCCTGCCTCAGCCTCCCAGAGTGCCAGAATTACAGGCAGTTCACCACCACGTCCAGCTCAACAGATTAGTATTTTCAAAGTATTCTTAAATGACAAAACTATGGTGGTTAGAGAACAGATTACTACTTTCATGGGACCAGCCAGGACAGCCTCGGAGCACAGGGGATCTCTGCAACTAGAACAACTCTATGTCCTCACTGTTGTGGTCATACAAATCTGGGTTAGAAACAGCTGCAGATGCACCCTGAGAGCAGGCTGGAAACTGGGGGCATTAAGCCAGGTGGGCGTGTGGCACAGTGCATGCCAGTGCTGGCTTCCTGATTTGGCCAGCAGTGGGGAAACTGGGCAAAGGGTTCATGAGCTCATTTTGCAACTTCTTTGAGTCTGCTGTATTTCCAAATAACAAGTGAGGAGAAAGAGTGTGCTCACTGGATCTGCTCAGAAAAAGTGTTTCCTAGTATAAAATGACCCCTGGGTAAAGTCAGCCTTTAGCAAAATGCTTTTACCACAATTGAAAACAAAACCAGGAGTCTAAGGATACACCTCAAAGGGAGAGCTTGTGTTTAGCATATATGCTGGGGAGGGGGGTTGGTCCTCAGCACTGCCAAAAAAAAAGAACCAAGACCCATGGGGGCCAACAGATAGATTTCAGGGTACAGGGACTCAGACTGCGTGTAAAATAAGGGGAGCAGGTTGTTCTGGGGAGAGGGCCAAAGAGTTTTGATTCTATTTCCAGGGTCCTGTGACCCACAAAATAAAGAACCTAAACCAGCCACAGCACCTGTTAAGCCAGCACTTGGGAGGCTGAGGCAGTAAGATCATTGACAGTTCTAGGCTAGGCTGGGTTCAAGGTCAGCCTGAAATACAAAGCAAGAGATCTTGTCACACAAAACAACAACAAAGAATTAAGAACCTTTACTCACAGAACACTGATCTCAAACCAGCTGCAGTTTAGTTATATACACTTACGAATCTACGCTATCGACAAATGTTTTTATTTTTTTCTATATGTTCCTAAGTGTGAATACATGTATTTTTGGCTTTTTTCTGAGACAGGGTCTTGCTATGAGTTTAGGCTGCCTTGAACTCACTATGTGTGGTCCTCCTGCCTCAGACTCTGGAGTGCTGGCGTTACAGTCCTGTGCCACCATGTCTGACTACAAATGTATTTTAAAGTTAATATCAATTTTAGAAAGCCAGGAATTGGTTTAGAGCCTTCTCAATGTAACAGCATTCCAGGTCCCACCTTGGAAAATGGCCTTAGGAAAATCCAGCCCTGGGTCCTACACTGCCAGGAAGTGATCTGGCTCTGCCTGGGGGAAACCAGCAGAGCCCACAAAATGCAGACAAGGCTCTGGCCACTACAGACACTGCACAATGAGGGGTAAGAGCTGAGGAGCAGAGCCAGGTGCACCTTGGGCACTTGCTTCTTCCAAGGTGGTTTCCGGAGGCATGGGCCACACCAGCGGGCCAGAAGAGCCTCACAGCTCACGGTCAGGAGCTCCTGAAGCCCTTTGGAGCTTCTGTCGGACCGGTTTAGTGCACAAGGCTAGACCTCAAGACGATCACTGACTCCATTCTTTATATGCAGGCAGCCAAACATGCCTAATCACACCCCACGGCTCTGCTAGATAAACAATGCGCTTACTCAGTTACCGAGAGGAATTAAAGCCAGTTTCTCAAGTCACCATGAGAAAGCAGGAAAGAGGAAGCACTTCTGTACTGGGCATTCACATCTCCAAACGTTTCATGATTTTCCTGAAAGTCGTACTGCATCGTAGGTCAGAGAGCTAAGACTAACATAACAGTACAATCCTTCTTTATACCTCTGTGTCTTCCAAGTTTCCTCCTAGACCTGAAAAATCTGAATTCTTGCAGATGACCCTCCGGTCTGCCTTGGCTCTGACCCCCACACACATACCAACTGGGAAGGATGTAGGGCCGCGCTGGGCACCTGCCAGAGGCGGCGAGCTACTGCCCACGCAGGAGGGCACGGGCAACAGGACAAAGGCAGGTATCGTGGAGGCGCCCCGTTCCCGCCCTGCCCACAGCAGGGCCTGTGCTGCGCGAATTCCTGCCTAACTCCCCCAGCCCGCAACTACAAAACCGCGCTAGCCTCCGGAAGCCTTCCAACAACTCCAGTCAGGCCCCGAGCACGCCAGACCTCACGCCCGGAGGCCGGAGCGGGGAACGGCCAGCCCGACCCAGAGACCCAGCGCGGGCTCACGCCGCGCTCTTCCGGACCGCAGCCCCAGCGTCTCGGAGGCCTCGCCCCAGGCACCACCTCCAGATCGGGACCCGGAACTGGAGGTGCCGCGGGCGGGGAAGGGCGCCCGCGCCCCCTCACCTTGGAAGTCGCCCGTGTCGGCCACCACTGTGGTGAACTGCTTGAGCTGGTCCAGCGCGGACTCCATCCTCTGGCGCTTCACCGGGGACCCCGACATGGCGAGGAGCAGGCGGCGGCAGCGGCGACAGGAGCGCGGGGGCCCACAATGCCCCGCGCGGCAGGGCCAATCGGAGTGACGGGAGGTGAAACCCCGCCCCGGAGTCTGCCCACCTCGGGCGAGACACGCCCCTGGAGACGAGATCCCCCTCCTGGAGGCAGCCTCACGCCAGTTGAGTGGGGCTCCTGGCGGGGAGCCAGTGCCACCTGCTGCAGCACCTCACGCCTGAGCATCACGTATGAATACAGCGCCCTTGTAACCCAGCCACCTCTCCAGAGTCTCATCCAGTCGCGCTGACAGCCATGCTCAATGGCACACGCAGTGTGGTCCCGAACGCGGCAGCGCCCCGGGAACGTGTCATGTGTCACCTCCTGGTCCCTCCAGGCTACCAAGTTCTGTATGCTCTCCGGGGTTGAGGTCACTCTAACATACATATATCACCCTGTGAACATTTTACCCGAGTAAAAAGGGAAAAACAACTCAGAGACATCTGCTTAGCATCCACCATTGTGTCTGATACTGACCGTGGTGGCACACCTGTCATCCCGGAGCTCAGGTGGCTGAGTCAGGAGAATTGCCAGGAGTTCAAGGCTAGCCTGGGCTATATAGTGCATTCAAGGCTCGCGTGAACTACAGAGTGAGGCCTGTTTCAAAACAAGAGCAAACAGGTAGGGCCAGGGATTTAGCTCAGTGGCTTGGCTGCCTGCCCCGCAAGCACAAGGACCTGAGTTCAATCCCCGGTACCAAAAAAAACACCAGAAGTGTCAGACACAGAAAAATGCCCACAGGATCGAGGAAGTGTTCACACAGCAGGCAAGGCACCGAGCCTGGAGGGTGTGGTGGGTGGAGGAAGGTGGCCCAGCAAGGACAGGGCAGCAACAAGAAGCCGCAGGGCAAGAGTTGAGAAACCAGACAGCAAGGCCAACTATGTCAAAATATCCAGCACCAGCAGATGAAAGTTACCCTGGCCCCCAAGACCGAAGTATGCACACATCCAAAAGTACCTGACCCTGGCCTGACTCCAGCATCATTTGCATTGTGGTTTTGACACCCACCCCCATAGGCGTTGAACGGAGTGACACTTGCCCTAAAAATTTTGTATGGTCAAAAATACCCTCTCACCTAGAACAGCAAAGGCAATTCTGGGGAACGAAGGCAAAGCAGGGGTTATCACAATCCCTGAATTTATGCTACAAAGCTACAGTGACAAAACCAGCATGGTACTGGCAAAAGAACAGACCTGAGGACCAATGGAACAGACTAGAAGATGTAAAAACAATTCCAAACACACTCAACCACCTTATCTTTGACAAAGGAACTAAACACGTTCCCTAGAAAAAAGATAGCCTCTTTAATAAGTGGTGCTGGAAAAACTGTCTTTCCACATACTGAAGACTGAAACTAGACCCATATAGGAAGGACCAGGGAAAGGGGACGTTACTAGAACCTCTGCAAAGTCCTAATCTCCTGTGAGCCACGGCAGCACAAAGCAAATTACAGGAAAGGTAGAAAAATGAAACTAAGAAAGTGAGCTTTGGGTCTGATCAGTGCTGCTCTGGGCAGCAAAGACAAAAGCCCCCAGCTTACCGCACCTTTTATTCAGTACATCGGGAGAAACAAATGTAACAAATGACTTGCAGAGAGTTCAGTACATCCTGCATAAATAAGATGTAACAATCCAAAAACAATGAGGAACTGAGTAGATGTTTGTTCCTCCCAGGATGTTTTCAGCTCCCAGAATGTTTCTTGTCCAGTAGAATCACAGCATCACCGGATCATTGAGGTCTCAGTTGTGACCGGAGGCCAAAATGGAGTTATGTCTCGGAATTCCATAGCTGGGCTGTAGGCAGGAGAACTAAACTAACCAAATGATTTTTCCCTAAAATTATGTAGCATTGCTCCCGACAGACCCATATCTTTCACCACACACTAACCTAAAATCAATGTGGATCAAAAAAATCTAAATATTAAAACAGAAACACTAAATCTGCTGGAAGAGAGAATAGGTAGAATGCTTGAAGACATAGGAGTAGGCAAAGACAAAACCCAGACCACATGGGAAATGCTACAAAGAATCAACAACTGGAACTTCATCTCATTAAGAAGCTTTTGGGATTTTGCTCAGTGGTTCCGCCCCCTGCCTTGCAAGCGCAAGGACCGGAGTTTGATCACCTGTGCCCCCCAAAAAACAAAAAAAACAAGCTTTTGCACAGCAAGAGAAAGCACCAACAGAGTGAAAAAACAACCCACAGGGTGGGAAAAAATTAAAAATTTTTACCAGCTATTCAGATAAAGGAGTATTATCTAGAATATATAAAGAACTCAAACAAATCAAACACACTCCCCACCCCCACCCCCACCCCCCCGGCACAAGCCTGTAAACTCGATTGGGAGGCTGAGACAGGAGGATCCCAAGTTCTAGCCTAGCATGAGCAACTTCCACCTTAGGGAGATACTATCTCTAAATAAACCATAAAAAGGGCTATTAAAAAAAACACTAGGGGGCTGGGGATTTAGCTCACTGGTGCTGCCCCCTGCCTCCCAAGCAGAAGGTCCTGAGTTCGATTCCCAGTACCAAAAACAAAAAAATAAACAACAATAACAAAAAACTAGGGAATGTAGCTTATATGAAGGCCCTGAGTTCAATCCTCAATATCACAAAAGAAAAGAAACAGGACAAAGAGCAGACAGCCCTTCTGAGGTTATTTCTGGGAGAGCCAGATTGGTGAGCACAGGCCATGCATGCAGGGTGCTCTCTGGGTTGCCCCATCTCCCTGCACTTGGAGCTGGCCTGCTTGTAATGCGCCTGGACCTCTCCTCTCCTGATTCCAGGAAGGTTGGATAACAAACAGCTTTAGCTTGGTGACATGGAACTTAAGCCGTGTTGCTGTTTTGGGGCTTTACTGGTCTCTCGGGGCCTGTCTCAAACTTGTCCCGAACAGTGGCTTCCCATGACCTGTATTTCTGTTGCTTTTGCCATTCTTTTGAGTTTTGCAAGGGCTGGGGATTTAGCTCAGTGGTTCCACCGCCTGCCTTGCAAGTGGAAGGACCCGAGTTTGATCCCTGGTATCAGAAAAAAAAAAAAGTACACACTGTTGAGTTTTGCAGGGCTGGGATGAAGCGCAGGACCTCATGCAGGCTGACCAGGTGCTCGGCATGGAGCTGGGCAGGGCAGGAGGACCAAGAGCAGCTGGGTTCTGACTGGTGGGCCTTGGGGCACAGCCTCTCCTCAGGGCACCCTAAGCCCTGACCCTGTTGGCTCACACATGCAGGTGGGGCGCACAGATCACCCTGTGGCAGGGGTCTGGCCTGGAGCCCCCTCCCAGGTGGAACTCAGAAGGCAGGGGCTTCCCGGGGCAGTATCCAGGAGCCAGGCATGCACAGGGAGGGTCTGGAACACTTGTGCCACTGGACCATGGCTACTGTGAGGCCTGGTGGCCACACACAGGGGGCACAGGGGCAGAAAACAGGACTACAGCTAAGTGAACCCCAGACTGGAGTGGTCAAACATGGGGAGTGGAACACCCAATAGCCATGGTGTCTTGGGAGTCAACTCAAACATCCCTTCACCCGGCTCTGGTGAGGCACTTTGGGGGCTAGGAAAGATGGCAGCAGCCAGCAGAGCCAACTCAGGGGGAGTAAACACCCACCACCAAGACTTGAGGAGGAGGGTTGTTTGGGCTCATACTTTCAGAGGGTTCAGTCCACGGTCAGCTGGCTCAGTGGTGGAAGGGCTGGTGGGGGAAAGCTGCTCACTCCATGGCCACCAGGAAGCAGAGAAGGGGAAGCCAGGGGCAAGAACACACCTTTCAGGTCACGCCCAGTGACCCCCAGCAACCAAGCCTCACTCCTGGCAGCACATTCAGCTATGGACTCCTCAGTGGGTGAATCCAGGGCTGCCCGCAGCACCCGATTATCCAATCACCTTTCAAACACACGAGACTTGGGGGGAATTTTTATTATTTCATTTTATTTTATTTTTTGAGATAGACTCTGTATAGTTCAGGCTGGCTTGATCTCACTGTGTACCGCAGGCTCGCCTTGACCTGCAATGATTCTCCTGCCGAAGCCTCTCAAGTGCTGAGGTCTCAGACATGCACCACCATGCTCAGAATCGACATGTCCTGGGCTGGGGATGTAGCTCAATGGCGCTGCACCTGCCTGGCAAGCACAGAGTCCTGAGTTTGATCTCTAGTACCAAACAAAACAAAACAAAGCAAAGGCATGTCCTGAATTTTATGACAAATGCAGGAGGGGAACAGAAATCAGCTACTCAGTTAACAGCCCAACAACAACTTCACCTTGAAACCATGGCTTAAATCCCATCCTGGCCAGGGACCCTGCCTAGAGGCCACAGGGTCCCCTACCCTGAGCTCCTCTCATGGCCATTACAGGTCACCATGCTGTCCTCCCCCAGGGGGACATGATACCTCGGCTCTGGTCTGGTGGCCATGCCCAGCTGTGGCTGCCTCTGCTGGTGGCTGGGAACCTGTCCCAGCCCCTGGTTGAGCCCTATTCTGGCTCAGTGAACTTGTACACTTTAGAGACCCCTGGTCCTGAAAATTCTGGGGTCACCATGAGCAGGCCAGTGGTGCAGGGCGGGGCCCTGACACAGGAGACACCCCTGTCCCTGCCCAGCAGACGGCTGAGGTCCCTCAAGGGATCCAGCCCTGAAGAACGTAGCTTCACTGCACCAGGGGCCGGTGGCCGCTGAAAGCTGGGGTCTCTGGGAGCAGCAGAGCCGGGGTGGTGAGGACTAGGGCTCAAGCACGCGATGGCTGATTGGCGCACATGGGGGTGAGGCAGGGGAGACCATAAGAGAGAGGCAGGTAGAGGGGTTTGGGGTCCAGGATGAGGACAAGGAGATGAGCTTTGAGATTGGAGAAGGAGGAGCCATCGGGCCAGGGCCGAGGCCTGGAGGGCTCAGGGGCAGAGCCTGGGGGCTTGGGGTGGGGGTGGGCAGGCAAGGACAGGTGCTTGGGGACACGTGTGACTGCAGCAAGAGGGGAAATAGTGGTGGCCTGAGCAGTAACTGTCAGGGAAGAAGCAGGTACGTGGACAAGGCCACCATGCCAACTGCCTGTGCTGCTTCAGAAACAACCCAAGACCGTGACTTCAAGACAGCAGGGCAGCTCCTCCCCTTCAGGTTCTGTGGTCAGAAGTCCAGGGGCAGCTGAGCATGGTGCTGCACACCTGTCCTCCCAGCACTTGGGAGGCTGAGGCAGGAGGATCATGAATTTGAGGGCAACCTGGGCTACAAAGTGTCCCAAGACAACCTGGATTAGAGCAAGACCTTGACTCAAAAGAAAAAAAAAAAAAAGCTAAGCATGGCATCTAGCACTCTGGGAGGCTGAGACTGGAAGATCTGTTTGAGCCCAGCCTGCGTAACTTAGCAACTTAGCAAAAGGCAATTGCCTGTCTCAAAATAAAATAATAAAAAGAGGGTTGGGCATTGCACAGTGCAAAGGCCCTGTGCGCAATGCTCAGTACTGTGAAAAGGAAAAGGTATGGTGGTTCATGCCTGTAATCCCAGCACTCAGGAGGCTGAGGCAGGAGGCTCACCACAAGATTGAGACCAGCCTGGGCCACGCAGTGAGTTCAAGGCCAGCCTGAAGTATAATGGCGTAAAAAAGAAAAGAACCCTAAATGACCTGTCTCGAGGACATCCCAAGGCTGCATACTTGCATAGCCCCAGGCCTCCCTGCAGCTCCCCTGGATCACCAGCACCCTCCCTTTGGTTCTGCTGGAATCAAAGGGCCCTGTGGGTCCTGAAACACTTCTCTGCAATGATGGGTCAAGAACCTGCCTGGGGCGACTGGGCTCCCTGTCCCCTCCTGGGGACCTCAGACCCCAAGTGCTGCACGGGTGACCAAGGCTCCTGCTAGCCTTGCCCTCGGGTGGTGAGAAGCGGCTTCCTGTCTCTCCCATGTGCCCTGGACCCTCCTGTGGTCACAGCCCTGTTCCCAGGTCACTGGCTCTGCCTGCTGAGCTGTAGCCATACCCTTCGGGTCCCACCTCGCACACCAGCGCCTTGGGAAGCCTCTCCATGCTGAAGAATTGCTCAAGGGCCCAGCACTTCTCTGTGCGTGGCCCTGTCTGTCCATATTTACCACGTTAGAAAATAAAACTGTGAGAGTTCGAGAACACGCATGTGCTGTGGTCTGAGCTCATCCCTAAAGTCCCTGTGTTAGGAACGTAGCGCCACCCTGGGCAGCAAAGTTGGGGCCACCTCAGCTCCTGTCCACTCCTTCCCACACCAGGCCTCACCGGGTGTGGCTGCTGGATCAGGGACTTCCAGCCTCCAGAACTGTGAGCCACAGGTAAATTTGTTCTGTTCTACTGGCTTTCTGTGGGACTAGGGATTGAATCCAGTGCCTTTGCACAGAGCCACAGCCCCAGGCCTTTGAGTTAATTTATTTGTTTTTATTTTCAGACAGGGTCTTACCAAGTGATCCAGGTTGGCCTTGAAGTTGCAATCCTCCCGCCTCAGCCTCCCAAGTAGCTGAGGTTACAAGAATGTACCACAATACCCTGCTGAACCACTTTTCATTTTAAATGACCCAGTTTGGGGATTCTGTCATAGCAACAGAAAACGGACTAAGTGCATATTCATTCCTTTGTGTGTGTGGACCTGGGATCCAACTCATGGGTGTTCTACCACTGAGCTAAATCCCCAGCCCACATTATTTTGAGACAGGGTCTTGCTAAATTGCCTTGGCAGGACTCGAATTTTTGATCCTCCTGCTTCAGCCTCCCTAAGTGCTGGGATTACAGGCGAGTGGCCTGGCCTGGATGGGATCCATTCCTTCTTCTTTTTTTGGTACTGGGGATCGAACTCGTGTCCTTGCGCTTGTGCAGCAGGTGGCGAAACCACTGAGCTAAATCCTTGGCCCAGGGATCCATTCCTTTTAAAATAACTGCAGTACAACTGCTGTCACAGCAAGTTCTGCCCTGCACACAGCAGCAGGAGGCTCACGGCAGATGGGAGGTTGCAGGGGCCTTATTTGGAGACTTCCTGAAAATGGTTGCTTAGGACCTGAGCCCACACTGACTTCAGACCCTGCTCCTGTCCATTGGCCCTGAGTGATTATGTCTCCAGTTTGCCCAATCCTAATCGTGGCTCCAGAGACCCACCTGAGTCGGGACCCCGGCCCCAGTGAGATCCTCCAGCGGGCAAGGTGCTGAGCCCTCTTGGGTGTTAACACTTAGAGCGGATGCTGGCAATGGAGCCAGGTGCTGCACTGCTGCCCTCCATATGAACTGAGGCAGGGCTGTCCTCGCTGGCCAGCGGTCCACACACCTCTGGGGAGCAGGTCTTGGGCCACGGAGTCAGCCTCGATGTGCTATTCCATGGCTGGCACCGGAGTCCTTCCCGTCTCTCAGGCACTCTCCACCTTCTCCCTGAGACTTCTGGGGCTCATCCACTTTTGGGGGGCAGCAGGGATCCTTCCCGCTTCTCCATGATAAAACGCCATCTCAGCACCACCTGTACCCCGAGTCTCCCCACTGACTTGCAGGGCTGCTGCCACCTCCACATCCCCAGCTAGCAGCTGCTGCACTGGGCCAGGGACTTCACCCTGTCTTGCTGCTCTTTTTGTTTTTTGGTACTGGGGATCAAACTCAGGACCTTGCACCTTCAGGGCAGGTGCGGTGCCACTGAGCTACATCCCGGCCCTTGCTGCTCTCTTTTTCGGGGAGGCCACTACTCTGTCATGAATTTTCTAAAAAGCAAGACAAAGCAGCGAGAGGAGCCCCTTGCATCCAGGGTGGCCTGGCTTGGGTAGCCGAGGCCTGCTGTGGGAGGCCACAAGGACTTGCTTGTCTCCAGACAGAAGGGCCTTGTTCGTGGAGTTTGTTGGGGCCCTAGCTGGGGCGCAGAGCTCTGGCCAACCTCCCTGAGGTCTGGGATTCAGAGCTGCAGCTCCTCTCTGGTCCCCATGGTTAGACCTTCTGCAGTCTGGGTCCCACTGGGGCAGGCACTGTTGGAACCAGGGACGCTGGCCCGAACCCCACCCAGGCAACCGGGCCTCTCCGTGCCTCACTCTTGGTTCACGTCTGTCTCTCCAGGCTGCTGCTGTAGCCACCAAGAAGCCAAGGACACATTCAGTGCACACTGACAATTTGTCACCCTCTCGCCTTCAAGCCCTGGGTAGTGACACTGAGAACAAACAGTGGAGTGGTTCCTCACATGTTGGGTGGGCAGCCTTGATGCTTGGTGACCTTGGACCCACCCGTGGGCAGAGGGGTCCATGTCCCTGTACTGCTCCTGAGAGTGTCTGGAGGTGACAGACCTCCTCGGAACAACTTGTAGGAGCTCAGAGGTGTGCACCTGGGGAGGCGGAGCCCCTTGGGTGTGAAGGTCTGGGGCCTCCCCAGCTATCCAGGAGGCTGTGTGGGGACAGAGCAGGTGGTGGCCTGGGGTTGGGGTGGCTGAGGAAGCAGGTGCAGGTTCTGGGCTCCCAAGCCTGGAAGCAGCATCTGGAACCCCAGGCTACCCTGGTGGGGATCACCCTACTGGGGCTTGTTGGGACTGGGGTGGCCACTGTCCAACCCCAAGGTCAGGTATGCCAGGTCCCCTGAGGCCCTCTCTGGGAGCAGGTGGTGCCCAGGCCATCCCTGCCCTGAGGGAAACTGTTCTCAGCTCATCTTCCTCTTTTTCTCCTGGGCCAGGCCAAAGGTGCTGTCCCAGATAGGAAGTTAAACTGTTCTTTAGGCCTTGGGAGGGCAGTGGCCAACACATCCAGGTCACGGTTTGGAGGACCCAAGATGCTTGCAAGGCCTCTTGACTGGACCCTGCTGGCCTGAATGGGAGGAGGGGCTTCCACGGCCTCGGGCTAGACTGGTCTCGTGATGGACCAGCCTGGGGACCTGGACATGATCTCCACACCTGGCCCCACCAAACCTAACCTGTACCTTGCAGTCAACATGGCCCACCAGGCAAAGTTCCAAGATGGCACCCAGACCTCTACACCAGGGCTGGGGGGCTCCCCAGTCAGCTCTGGGGACCCACAAGCCAGCCCTCCACTCAGCCCGGGGCTGGGGCGCCCTCTGGTGGCCACCTGGGCAATACCCAGAGCGGCCAGCAGAGGGCGGCAAAGGCCCCTCCATGGGTGGGACCCGGGTGGGAGCGGGGTGAGGCGGGTGGACACTGGCCAGGCAGGTGTATGCCCCTCAGAGTGTGTGCAGGAGGAGCCAGCGATGCCTCTCACTGTCTGGGTCCTCAGGCCCCACGTCCCTCCTAGGCCCGCTAGACCTGGTCGGTGCCCCACAAAGCCAGCCTGGGTGACACGATGGGGCCCTCTGGAGCTGGCCTGGGAGGACCGCAACAAGGGGCGTGGAAGGTGAGGAGGGACGCCCCCCCGGCCCCCCCAGACTCTCGCCTCCTGGAAATGTCCCCCAGGCTCCTCAGCTTTTTCAGCCCTGCCCTCTGCCCGAGTTCTCAGAAATGATGCAGCCTTGGGGGGCCCTGGACCCCAGCCCTAGGAGACAGACACTCTGCTTCGAGAAGACAACTGTTTTAATGCCGTGGCCTCAGAGCCCCGCTGTCTTATCTCTGGCTGTGACACTCGGTCCGGAGCCCCGAGGCACAGCCACCAGCACAGCGGCCGGGCTCCACTGGCCTGGGACATGTCAGGGGACAGTCCTTCCGGGGCTCTGTGGGTCAGGTGTCAGAGGCCAGTCCTCGTGTCCAGTCTACCCTCAGACCTTGACAGGGTCCTGGAGCCCCTGCCCCAGCTGCCCTTGCCAAGCAGCACCCGGGGTGGGGGACAAATCGGGAGCCCAGGACACCAGCCCAGCCAGCTCTGAGCTCCAACCACTCTTGCAGTGTGGGGATCAGACGGACAGGTAGATGGAGAAGTCGGCAGACTGGGGGTCAGCATCACAGCGGCCAGGAGCATTCCATGCACGGGAGGCCAGCAGAGGAGACCCGTCCCCTGGGGAGCTCTGTGGCCTGGGACAGGAGGCTGAGGCCCCAGGGGTGGGCACAGGTTTGGCTGGTCCTTAGTATGGGCGGGGGGTGGGCAAGGGACCTGGCCAGGCCTGGGCCTGGATGCAGGTGACCCCCTCTCGGCCCCCAAGTCCTTGATATAAAATAATCCACCCACAAAGATAACAGCCCATGTGTGGGTGGGCCCAGCACAGCCTGCACTCCTCCACGAAGCAGGCGGCCGTGCAGCCAGGTCTAGCTGTCCTCCACCCTCCTCTGGCTCTTGGAATGAAACTTGCTCATGAGTTCCTCCAGCTCTGAGCCGCTCTGCTGTGTCTAGGAAGGATGGATGGGGTCTCAGCCTGCACTGCGTGTCAGGCCCCCAGCAGGCGGGGTGCAGGGTAGAGGCTCAGGGCGCTCACCTCCAGGACAGCCTTTTGCACCGTGAGCTGGCTGTACACGCGGACGCCCTCCTCCCCGCACACCTTCTTCAGCTCGTCCTTGTTGAGTGAGAACAGCTGAGGCCCGGTCAGTATGCCCAGGTTCTCCACGATGCTGGGGGAGCGTGAGGGCGGCGTGGTGGGCGTGGCAGCCTGGCGCCTGCACTCACCTAAGCCCAGCTGCACGCACCTGAGCCCTCCTGTCACCCCTACCGCCCTGTACCGCTCACCGGCTGCTGAAGGCTTTGGCCTCCAGCCAGGCGCGGACCTCATCGGGTCCCGACTCGAAGGTGAGCGGCAGGCGCACAGGCTGGCTGCGCTCCACGCGGAAGGGCCGGGACTGCTGCACCTTGATGTGGCTAATCTTCTTCATCAGCTCGTCGTTCACCTCGTCCATGTGGTGGATCAGCTCTGGGGGCGGGCGCATGCTCAGACCTGCCCACAGGGCTCACGCGTGCCCCGCCCCCGCCCCGCCCACAGCACTCGGCCCGGCCCCCGCCCTGCTTTAGCTGCTGCTCACCATCCTTGCTCCCCGCGAAGGTGGGGGGCAGCTTGTGGGTCGGGCTGGCGGGTCCCCAGAATCTCTGACCGGCCTGCGGGGGGAGAAACAGGCAAGGGGTGAGGTGGAGGCTGTGGGGCTCCGCAGGACCTGCCCTTCCTCCTTGGGCAAGGACCCCAGGACCCCTGGAACAGTCAAGGCGGGGGTGGGGGCCGCCGATTCCAATCCCAGGACGGGGCGCTGACACCCAGGGCACGCACCTGGTCTAAGGGGGCGCCGACCTCCTCGGGCCGGGCCTCCGCCAGGATGTTGCAGGGCACGAAGCCAGCCTGGCCGCTTCGGCTGCGCAGTTTCCACCACTGCCGCCCGTCCTCCAGTACCTGGGGGCCCCGCACCCATCAGGCCCCTCCAGGAGTCTCCCCTCGGCCAACCCTCAGTCCTGGCACCCGGCACGCGGAGCGGGTCTCAGGGGGAGGGGCCTCGAGGGCTGGCTGTAGATGCACACACTCCCCCCCCACTCTGTTTTCCGTCCTTCGGTGGGTGGCCTGGATCCAGGGTTGGCACAAACGCAGGCTCTCGGGTGCGTGTGACGAGCCTCTGCTGGGCTGCACCGCAGGGCCCGCTGGCACAAAGCCTTCGGGGCACGGGGTCCTGCATGCCAGGGGTCCCCACGCAGGATCCCCTCAGCCTGCCACACCCGGGTCAGGAGGCCCAGCCCGTAGACCCCCCAGAGCCTGGCGCTGGGGACCCTGGGGACGTGCACCACCGTGCCAACGCCTAGCCCCCAGGCCCCCCAGCTCCCCAGGCAGCTGGCCCCTCACCTCTAAGACCTCATCCTTCTGCACCGAGAGCTCATTGGCGTTGCGCGCTGTGAAGTCGTAGAGGACCTTCACGTACTTGGCCATGGCTGGCGCTGGCTGGTACCTGTGAGTACCGGTAGGGCTGAGGCCTAAGGTGGGCTGGGGTCTCCCCCGGGTGGGGCAGCAGCTCCCTAGGCGCCGGCTGCCTGTGCTCTGCTGCCCGGTGCAGAGGAGAGAGGCTGCGCTGGCAGTGGAAGGTGGGGCAGCGGAGGGGCGGGACCGGCCCGAGTGGCCCAGCCCTTGGCTGCAGGGGAGCTGGAGCCAGGAGACTGTGCAGGTGCAGAGAGCCCTGCCTGGCGCTCCAGGGACAGGGGCCCAGCCCTGTGAGGGAGGCCACCTCATCTGACCACCCGGGCGGCTCTGGGCAGGGGCATTGTGGGCAGAGGGGGCTTCAGGGTGGATGGACACTGGAAATGTTTATGTGTGGGCCCAGCAGGCACAGGGGAGGGGTGGGCTTGTGTTCGTTGCACGTCTCTGACCTGGGGTCAGGAGGGTGATAGGGTTCCCAGGGGGCAGCAGGGGGAACACAGAGGAGGGGAGGCAAAGGGGATGCCCCTCCACCCTGGGGGCACAGTGTAACTGGGGCTGTGCTGGCCCGACTCTCAGCCTCCCCTGCTGCCTGCGCTGGAGACTGGGTGGGGATGGAAAATTCAAACCTGACTTGGCCAATTTAGCAAATTTATGGAGAACGCATCTCAAAAAAGGGGAGGGGTGCTGGAGATGGAGCTCAATGCAAAAGCTCTGGGTTTGTTCCCCAGAATCCCACCCCCAAAGGAAAATCAGTCCCCACAGCCCCACAGGGAGACAGTGGTGCTTGGTGAAGGCCCCAAAGTCGAGGGTGTAGTCTCTCATCTTGACTTTCACATAAACATGAGCCATAAAAGAGCCACTGTTTGAGGGTAGTAAATTTATGTGCGATTCAAAAAAATTTTACCTTTAATTATGTTATAAAAATATAATGAAACAAGGTTCTAATCTGGAAAAGCAGTTTTTTGTTTTTGTTTTTTGAGACGGGGTCTTGCTATGTAGTTCAGGTTGGCTTTGAACTCTTACTATGTAGCCCAGGCTGGCCTCAAAAGCACCGAGATCCTCCTGCCTCAGCCTCTTGAGTGCTGGGATTAAAAGCGTGTGACACCACACCTGGCAAAAGCAGCGTTTTTAGCCACAAATGAGGTATGTGCCACCTTCTGGTGCCAGCGTATGCCTGTGTCCTAAGGGGGCTCACCTGTGAGTGTGGGGGGAGCTGCCTGGCGGCAGGGCATCCCCTGGGGCTGTCGGCTCACCCAGGATGTTCTTTGGGGAGCTTCGCGCAGAGAGTCGGCGCCCCGGGGCTGGCTGTGGGGAAAGTGGTAGCCTGGGGTTGATGTGGGGTGGGGACCAGGCAAGAAGGGCAATGACGGGGGGGTCCCGGTTAGGGCCTTGGAAAATGCCCACACCTAGGACAAGGAGCCGGACGCCCAGGCCAGGGTGGGAGAAGCGGGTCTGGCGGCCTCTGACCTGGTCCTCTGGCGCCGACGCGGGCCCCTCCACCTCCCAGGGCGCCTCCTGCAGCACGTCCAGGGGCGGCTCCCAGCCGCTGTGAAACTGGGGCACGTAGGGGGACACCTGCGGCTCGCGCGGCCACTCGGACCTGGCGGACAGTCCTGGGTCAGACTCGACCCCCGGGGCTAGCCCACCCGGGACCCTCACCCTGCGCCGCCGCCTCCGTACCGGGGCCGCGTCCAGGTCTCCCCCAGCGACTCCCACAGCGACATCTCCTTGGGGACCAGATGGCCGCGCAGGAAGCCCACGGCGTCGCGGGAGAGCCCAGGGCTGGTGACCGAGCGCGCGAGGTCCGGGCCTCCGCAGGTGTTGACGATCTGGGGCACAGCGCGGGTCAGATCGCGGCCCACACAGCCGCCGGTGCGAGCTCCGAGCTCTGCAGGAGGGCGCGGGGCAGGGACCACGCCCTGGGCGGCCGGGGACAGGGCCACGCAGACGCGCGCCTGGCGCTGCCCCGTCACCCAGACCCGTTCCTCGGCCCCACCCACAACTGGCCCCGCCCACTCCCATCCCCTGGCCTCGGGCCCCGCCCCGCCCCGCCCCGCCCCAGGCACCAGGTCCAGCGGGCCGAAGAGGAAGTGCACCAGCTCCGCGGCGCTGGGGTTCTGGATGTGCTTTTGCAGCTTTGCCTGGCGGGGCGAGGACAGGGCAAGGCAAGTGAGCGGGGGACAGATGGGGTGACCTGTACCCTTTACCCTCGCCGCCGGCCCCAGGTAGGGTCGCACTCACGAGCAGGTTGATGGCCAGCTTGGTTTTCTGGAAGCAGTCGACAAACTCGGCCTCGGAGGGGGGCCGCGCCCGCAGTGTGAGGACGCCCTCTGCGGGGTGGGTGGGGGCGTGAGCCTGGGCCTCCCATCCGCCCGCTCAGGGCCCCAGCCCTGCCCTGCCCCACCCCGCAGCACCTGCGGGCCCCTTCTTGCCCTTCTTCTTCCCCTTCTTCCGCTGGTTCAGCTGCTTGAAAGCCTCTGCCGCCTTCTGCAGCCGGGCCACGAACCACTCGATGTCGTCCAAGGCGCAGTTGAGGATTTGCTGTGGTCAGAGGCGGGGTCAGCCGTGCCGGTGGGGTGGGGACAGGGAGGACCCGGGCAGACACCCACCGTCTCCTTCTCTATCCTCTGGGCCAGCACCGCCCGCGGCTCCTCATCCTGCGATTCCCGGCGACGGAAGCCTGCTGGGGACAGAGCAGCTGTGACGAGGGCCCCTAGGCCCCGAGAGCCACCCGACCAGCCCCGCGGCCTACCTGGGTCTTGGGGCGGCACCGGGGGGCCCACCCGGTTCTTGGCATGAGGGGAGTCCCCTGCCCGGTCCTGGAAGGGGATGGGGGCTGGGCCCTGGAGGGGGGGCAGGATGGACTGCCGCTGCCGGATCTTCTCCTGGTGTCCCCTGAAGCGGAAATGGGGGCCAGTCAGCCTGGCCGCCACCCACACTGGGCTGCCCCACACTGGGCTGCCCCGCACTGTCCCTGCCCCTGCACTCCAGCCTAGGGAGACCCTGGGCCCTACTTCAGGGTCTGCGGCCGCATCTTCTTCCCCAGCCGGCAGTCGGCCAGTGCACTCTCGATGTCCTCCTGCACCAGCTCAGCCTGGGGACACAGGGGCGTCAGGCTCACCCAGCGTGCACCGTGCCGCCCGCCCTGGGGCCTGCTGGCTCACCTCCACCTCGTCACAGTGGAAGAAATGGATGTCGGGCTTGTTCTGCTCGGAGTCCTGGCACACCAGGAGCAGCACTGAGGGGTAGCGAAGTTGGTTGAGCACCGTCTGGCTGTGCTGCACTGTGGCCAGTGGGAAGTTCTCCAGCTCCTCCTGGGGGCGGGTGGCAGGGTCAGCGCAGTCCTGGACACGCGGCTGGACTGTGGCCCCGGCACACAGCAGACAGATGTGGCCGAGAAAAGGAGCAGTGCCACAGCCCGGGGTCGCCTTGTGGGCACAGCACATAGTCTGGCCCTTGGACACAGACACACATTGGCCACAGGCACAGAAAAGGGACAGGGGAGGTCCAGATGTGGCCCAGGGGTACAGACAAGGACACTACCAGGCCTGGTCATAGCTACAGATAGGCCCAGGGCACAGACCAGGGGCTCGCTGCCACCTTGAGGTACTCTCAGCTCCACCCCATCTTCCCTGCCTCCCCGGGCCCTGTCACCTTCTGCCAGCTGAACGGCAGGGAACGCCTATCCCACAGACAGGCCCTGACACACAGCCGGCCCAGAGGACAGCGGCCCAACCTCCACCCACCCATACCTGCGTCTCGATGTCCAGCAGCCGCACTGACTGGTCGCTGACCTGCAGCAGCATCTCCTGGGCCCAGACCTTCTCCTTGGAGCTCAGCTGCACCAACTTCCGGATGGCGTCGTCCACGGAGGTGATGGCCTCACTCTTGTCCATGATGAACGTGGCCAGGTGCTGGGGGAAGGCAGGTGGGCACGGCACTCCTGTGTCCACCAGGCCCAAGGAGAGGCAGCCCGGGGGACTGAGGGCCCCAGCCAACCCTAAGGAGTCCATGGGGGGGCGGTCTGTATTCTGCCCTAGTGGATTCTTTGAGGGGTCATGGTTGTGCACTGATAAAGCCCTCAAAAAAAACTTTTAGACCGCTTCTCCCCACCCCTGCCACTGCACTCCAGGGCAGCCCTGCCCTCGAGTCCCAGCTTCCACAGACCCTGTCTCAAAATAAGAAGAGCTATGGATGCAGCTCAGTGGTACAGCACTTGCCTAATGTGCAGGAGACCCTGGGTTTGATGCCCAGCACTGGAGGGAGAAAAAAAGCTAGAAAATTAAAGAAAGCCCAAAGTAAGTGGAAGGAAGGAAATTAAAAGAAAAAAAAAAAAAGGTCTACGAACTAGTAAACAGAAAACCAGTAAAGAAAACCCAAAGTCCAAAATTCATTCTAAGATTAATAAAACTGATAAACCTCTAGGAAGAATAATTAAGAACAATACTAGAGAAAACACTAAAAGGAAGGACGGATCTTATAGGCACATAAGCGAATTAAGGAGCAAAAAACCTCCCACATGAGAAAGTTGTACTCAGAGGGCCCTACTGGTGAATCCTGGCAAATATTTAAGGAAAAAACACAACACACTTTCCTTCTGATGTATAAGGTGAACACAGCCATGACGCCCACCCTGCCAAAGGTAACGCAAAAGAAAGATACAGATGAATCTCTTCAATGGACATTGATGCAAAAAGTCTTCAGCTGGGCTGGGGATTTAGCTCAGTGGTTCTGGCACCTGCCTTGCAAGCGCAAGGTCCCGAGTTTGATCCCCAGAACCAAAAAAAAAAGTACCTCTACACACACACAGCAGACAAAACATCGAATGCTTTCTCCTAAGACTGAAGAAGGCAGGGGCGTCCACTCTGTCCCTTTTACTTAGCACTGTACTGGTGATACTAACCAGGGAAATGAGGCAAGAGAACACATAAAAGGTACAAAAGGAACAAAGAATGATTTTTATTTTTTTTGGTACAGGGATCGAACTCAGAGGCAGGCAGCAGAACCACTGAGCTAAATCCCCACCCAGTGATTTTCATTTCTGACAACGTGATTGTGCAGGTGAGTAGACAATCCAGTCAGTGTACAAGCAAATCACTGGAACAAATTACTAAATCCGCCAGGGTCCCAAGACACTTGATCACCATACAAAAATTCAATTTTTTTCTATATACCAGCAGCAGATCGTTGAAGATGAAATTTTTTTAAATGCCATTTGTAACAGCACATAAAAATAAAACACCTAAGGAATAACTTCATAAAAGATAGGTAAGACGTCTACAGTGTAAATCACATTGTTGAGAAATTAAAGAAGACCTAAGCTGGGCGTGGTAGCACATTGCTGTAATCCCAGCCCTCAGAAGTCTGAGGCAGGCAGATTGCCACAAATTCGAGGCCAGCCTTGGCTACATAGTGAATTCAAGGCCAGCCTGAATTATATAGCAAGACCCTGTCTCAAAATAAATAAATAATAAAGAAGACCTAAAAAATGGAAAGACAGGGCAGGGGATGTAGCTCAGTGGCACTGCACCTGTTTGGCAAGCACAAGGTCCTCGGTTTGATTCCTGGTACAAAAAAAGAAAAAGAATTGAAAGACATCCCATGTTCATGGATGGGAAGATAATATTGTTTATCTGTTTTTTTGTTTGTTTGTTTGTTTTTGGTACTGGGGATTGAACTCCAGTCCTTTCGCTTGCAGCAGGCAGTGAAACCACTGAGCCAAATCCCAGGCCCATGATAATATTGTTTAGATGTCAATTCTCCCTAAACTGCTTCACAGATTTGACTCAATGCCAATCACAATTCTAGCAGCTTTTTTATTTTTTTATTTTTTTTGCAGTACCAAGGATTGAACTCAGGACCTTGCACTTTCTTTTGATTTTTAAAGACTATTTTTCTGGGTTATGTGATATTTTTGTGTACTTCAAAGCAGTTTTATTTTTTTCTTTGGTACCGGGGATCGAACTTGGGACCTTGCGCTTGTGCAGCAGGCGCTGGAACCACTGAGCTAAATCCCTGGGAAGGACCTTGCACTTTCAAGGCAGGTGGCAGAACCACTGAGGTAAATCCCTGGCCCTCTAGCAGCTTTTTTAAGGAGCAGAAATGGACAAACTGATTCTAAAATTTATATGGAAATCTAGGCTGGGGATTTAGCTCAGTGGTTCCGGCACCTGCCTTGCAAGCAGAAGGACCCAAGTTCAATCCCCAGTACCAAAAGAAAAAAAGAAAGAAAGAAAAATTTATATGGAAATCTAAAGAGCTTAGTCAAAAATTTTAGCTGGCCACTGGTAATACACACCTATAGTCCCAGCTACTGGGGAGCCTGAAGCAGGGTTGCTTGAGCCCAGGAGTTTGAGATCAGCCTGGGCAACACAGCAAGACCCTGTGTCTAAGGAAGCGCGTGAGAGTGTGTGTGTGTGTGTGTGTGTGTGTGTGTGTGTGTGTGTGTGTGTGTTGGGGCTCAAATTCAGCCTCATGTATGCTAGGCAACCACTCTACAACTAAGCTATGCCCAAGTTCCAAGAAAGAACAAGTTGAGAAACAGAACAAAGTTGGGAGTCTCACTGATTTGAAGCTAAGGTTAGAGCTATGATTCAAAGCATGTACACACAAACAAAAGAAAACAGAAAACAAAAAGCCCGGTGTGGTGGCGCACTCTGTTACCCTAGCACTTGGGAGGCTGAGGCAGGTGAGGGTCACCGTGAGTTTGAGGCCAGCCTGGGCTACAAAGCAAGACCTTGTTTCAAACAAAACAAAACAAAACAACAAAACCAGCATATATATAGAATAACAGGTCAGTGAAATGAAGAATTCAGAGGTAGGGCCAGGGATTTATAGCTCAGTGGCACTGCACCTGCCTCGCAAGCACAAGGTCCTGAGTTCGATCCCCAGTACTGCAAAAACAAAGAGAATTCGGAAACAGGCCCATCCACATCCAATTAATCAGCTGTTGCCAAAGGCATCAGAGCCAGTCACAGGGAAAGGAAAGCCTTTGTAACGCAGCTGGACATTCTTACGGGAAAAGAGGCCTTGCTCCGGCCCCACAGCATGCACAGAAATGAATCTAAAGCACATCACCAACAGACAAAACGCCTCCACTACCAAGCAAAGCATCCAACAGAAGACACAGAAAGGAGGATTCAGAGTCTTGGCCAGGCAACAATTTCTTAGGAGACAAAAATCAACCAACCAACAAAACCATAAAAGAGATTTTTAAAAATGAGTACGACTGGACGTCATCAAAGTTGAACACTTCTGCTCATTAAAAGACAGCCCACCAGGTGACAAGCCACGGACTGGGAGAAGATGTTTCTAATTCATGCTTCTGACTGTGAAGGTGAAGAGCCCCCCAGAACTAGGAGCGACTCCATGAGGTACAGAAGAGACACTGGGCCTGCCCAGCTGGCAGAGGCCCACACCACAGAGCCCAGTGCAGCTGACGAGTTCTTCTCGGCAGTCTTCTTCTTTTTTTTTTTTTATTTTTATTTTTTTGTTACCGGGGATCGAACTTGGGTCTTTGTGCTTGTGTAGCAGGCGGCGAAACCACTGAGCTAAATCCCCGGGCCTCTTCTTAAAATAATTCACGAAGCAGAGGAGCAGAGGAGCAGAGGTGGCTGTGATCTACAGGATCTCATTTACAGACAAAACTGTAGTGATGGGGGACACGGCAGTTGCCAGAGACTGGGGAGGGGTGGCTGTGACCACAGAGGGTTTCAAAGGAGGATGGACTGGTGGTGGAGCTGCTGTGTGCCCAGGTCACCATGGTAACAGAACCACACCCCCCCCCATTTACTGTAGGAAGTTAGAAAAGAAATAAACATGGGCTTCTTTGCACGCCCTCCCATTGTCAAGATGGGTCTTGTGCCCTCAGGAAAACTCCACCTACTCCCCCACCCTAGCTGGCCCCTGGGTGAGTAAAAAGGTCCCTGCAACAGCAGAGCCAAGGCAGGCCAGCTTGGACCAAAGTCCAGGAGCCAGGCAGGGTCCAGGAGCCAGGCAGGGAAGCCACGGTGGCTGCTCAACAAGGAGGACAAAGTCCCTCTCCCGAGAAAGGGGCAGAGCTGCCAGGAAGGAAGAGCCAAAGCTGCCTTGTCCACAGCTCTGTGTCCTGTCCAGGGCACCGAGCCAGCAGCAGGAAGGACCTTGGTCACCCCAACATGCTGGCCTGGAGATGTGTGTGGATTTCTGAGGGCTCTATGGACCCTCAATCCAGTTAGAGGGCTGAGGTTCAGAGAGTGCCCTGGGGTGTGGAGCCCAGCCAGGGACATGGGAATTTGCACTTAGAGCTAGCAGAGCACCCGTCGCCCTAGACCTTCCTGTCATTCCTCACTCTGTTGTTCCACAGGCTTAGCTCACAACCAGCAACCCCGGCCACTCCCAGGTACAGGAAAGCCATTGAAAGAGCAAATTTCCTCAGTTCTGAATGTGACTTAAAGTGGGCCCAGGTGGGGGCCCGCCTGAGCTGGCAGTTGGTTCACAGGGTGCAGGTTACTGGTCTGGACTCAGCTAGCAAGCTCTCAGTAAAGGGCCCCTTTGTTCCAGCATCTCCTCCTAATCCAGTTCCCTGTTTGGGGGCCAGGATGACAACTTCCTTCCCACCCGCTTTTCCGGGCCAGAGCTGTCCAGTCCCTGGGTATCTCCCCAGCACACCCTGGGCAATGCTGGCCACCAGCTCCCCAGGGTGGGCTCCCAGTGGCCCCACCATGAGCTCTGTGGGACTGGAGGGGCCGTCTCCCCACTGTGGCTGAGCCCAGGGCTGTGAGGGTGTCCCCTGGCTGTGACCCTCCCTGTTTCCTGGACTGGGGCCTCACCTGGACATGGTACTGAGAGGTCTCGTGCATGATGATGTTGGAGTTGGAATACTTCTTCCTCTGCTCTGGATGGGAGAAGGCAGTCTCTCACCCCACAGCAGGACCCAAAGCCCCTGGTGCAGGGGCTTCGAGGAGGGTGCGGTGCAGGCCAGGGCCCCTCCCAACCAGCAGGAAGAGAGGGAACCAGGGTGTGCAGTACCAGTGAGGAGCTCCTGGGACAGAGCTGGCAGGAAGCCCTCGGACAGGTCCCCAGGGTGGGACCCAGGGGTACTCAGGGCGGTGCTGGGCAGCCTGTGACCAGAAGGAGTGCTGGGGAACAGGAGTCTCAGCCACACCCCACAGAGGGCGCCCCATCCCACGCCGCCTTCCTGAGGAGGGGGAGTCCAGCCGGGACCTCCCCGCTGAGGGCGGGGCCCCCCAAGTGAGGCGCTCGTTTAGGGCCCTGGCCCAGCCGAGGTCGGGCTAGGGTCCAGTGTGGCCTGAGCCTAACAGCGTGGGCTGCGGGGAGCATGGCGGCCGCGGGGGGAGCCAGCCTCCTCCTGGAGCAGACACCTGGCAACTGGGTCCTGCCTGAGCCCCTCGATCATGTTGCAGCGGAGCATGGCAGCGGAATCAATACTGACGCTCCCTGAATTATTCGTAAAGGCCTCTCCCCTTACGTCCGGGGGGAGGGGTGTCCAGTGGCCGGAGCTCGGGGGACGGGGACGCAACTCAGAAGCCACCAGCGGCTTGGGTCCAGAGGTCTCCTCAGGGTCCGGGGACCAGGCCGCAGCTACCCTGGGTCGGGGTCGGAGTCGGGCCTGGGCGCAGCCCCACTCCCCCACACGCAGGCCGTTCTCACTGCACTCACCGAACAGGTCCTTGGCGCTGATCTTGGCCACACGGTCTGACCGGCCCAGGCTGCCACTGCGGGGAGGGGCAGGTGAGGGCAGCGCCCAGCTCTCCCTCCCCTGGGGCTGGGGGCGTGGGGCTTACTTAGTGGAGCCCGGGCAGCAGCTCATGGGGCCCAACTGGCTCATGGTGTCCTTGGTACTGCCGGCGCCGCGCCGAGGAGACAGCACAGCGTCCGCCCGAGTCAGTCGGGCCCAGGGTTCGGCCGCACCTGAGGGGACAGAGGCGGTGGGGCTGGGCCTCCTCTCCCAGGTGCAGGAGCCGGTGGGTGCTCAGTGGCCTGGCCAGATTCCTGGGGTCCTCAGGGAACACAGTCCTCTGCCCTGCATCCCAGCTGGTGCCACAAGCCCCATCTTGCTCTAGACCTTCACCTTCCACATGGATGGCGGGAAGGGCTGCCGGGGTAGCTCTGGGTGGGAACCAGCAGGAGAGGAGGGCAGGAAAAGGTGAGGCTGCAGCCTTCGGAGGGGTGCAAAGCGCAGGAGCCTGAGCTGCTCCCTCACCCAGGCCTCTACCCAAGACCCCTGCATATGCCTGTGGGCCTGGAGGCCCTAGCAACGAGGCTGGCGCTTAGCTCCCTCTGGGCCGTGTGGCAGGGCATCCTGGGGTCCTGGGTACTCGGAAGCTAGTCTGGGCTGTGCAGGGGAGGGACGGTGGGAGTCAAGGGCAGAGAAGGAGGGTGTGGAGCCAAGATGCTCAGGGGTGCTTGGCACTCCAGCCTCCCCAGGGCCGACCCAGGATGGCTGCTCTCCTGGGCCAAATTTCCAGTCCTGCCCTCTCTCTTTTTTTTGGTACCAGGAATCGAACTCAGGACCTCGTGGTTGCCAGGCAGATGTGGCGCCACTGAGCTAAATCCCAGGCCCCTAGCCCTGACCTCTTGCCAGTCACATTTTGGGGAAACTGAGGCCTAGCTGCTGAAGGACCAGGTGTCTGATCTGAGCTGGACCCTGGGGCCTTGCCAGAAGGGTGAGCAGAGCTGGTGGCCTGGCTTGGCCTGACACTGTGTGGTCTGTGCCCTCTGAGGACTTCCAGAGCTCGGCTGCCCTGTGTCCTTGGCCTGGGTTCTTCCACGGCTCTTCACAGCTCCCCATGGGGTCCACACATACTGTCACCATTGGGGTCATCCCTTCCTGCCTCAGCGTTTGCGTGTGCAGGTGCTGGTGTGGAGGGGCAGGCTGAAGCACCCAAGACCTTCTAGTCTGACCAGGTTAGGGGCTGCTCCTAGGAGGTGTGGGGTCTGCTGGCCTTGGCCACTGCCCGGGTCTGGCTGGGGTGCACACTTTCCACAAGCCTCCAAGGGCCCTGGCTTGCCAGAGGGGGCCTGGCCCAAGTCCTCTGTCCACTCATTCACGGAGAATGTCTGGAATGCTCAGAAACTCAGTGGGTGAGTCTGAGTGTTTGCCTAATGGGATTCCTGACGGGCTCGACCAAAGGCTTGGCACGTGGGTCCAGGTACACACACCTGGGCAAAACAAACTCCAGCAGACCCAGGCCTCCAGGCCCACAGCGTGCACAGGCTGTGACAGGCAGCCTCCCCAAGGGCGTCTAGGCAGGGACCTGGCACCCAGGCAGGGGGAGGGGGGAGGAAGGGGCTGTCCCCCAGGGCTCCAGCTGGGGTGCATCTGGGAAGCCCTGTGAGCCAGGGGGGTGGAGAGGGGCTGTACAGCCCTGGCCCCGAGGCCCTGGGGCTCAAGCCGCACTTTACTGTGTCAAAAGCAGTGTCTGAAGTCAGGGTCCAGCCTGGTAGGTGCCAGGTGTTGGGGCGGGGAGGGGGGAGGCTCCAGCAGGGCGGCGAGGAAGGAGGAACGGGCGGCGAGGAAGGAGGAACTGGCTCCAAGTCCAAATTCCAGTCTCCATCCGCGGAGCGGAGGGAGTGACCTTGGGGCGGGGTCAGCCCCTCACTGGGGCTCCTGGCTGCCCTCGTGGGAGCTGGGTGGGGCTCTGGAATGGGGGAGCCCCTCGGCCCCTGGCTGCAGCCCTGTCTGGAATCTCTGGCCTGGACAGATGAGAGGGAAGGACGGAGGGCAAGGTTGGGGGGAGGCAGTGGGTGCACTTGGAGAGACCAGGGCAGGCGGAGAGGAGCAGGAAGCAGGGCTGAGGGGAGCAATGGGCCAACAGGACCTGGCACTCCCGGGCCCAGGAGCAGCCTGAGCTTGGAGTGAGGTTGCAGAAGGGCCAGGCAGGGAGGAGCGGGCCCCCAGCAGGACCCTGCCTTCCAGCACGGTGAATGAGGGCTGTGCCCAGGTTGGGGGCTAGGATTAGGGTCAGGACCCCTCGTCTCCTGCCACCCGGCTCACCCTGTGCAAACGAACAGCCCGGGCCAGCCTGGCCCAAGGAGCGGGTCGGGCACCCTCAGGCCCTGACCAGCCTACTCTCCGAGGAGGCCCAGCAGGGTTCCTTCTGCTGCACCCCAGCCTCCCCACCCCTGAAACCCCACACCCCAGCTCTGACCAGGAGCCTGACCTGGCCGGGTGTTTCCTGGCCCTGGATTGCCTTTTGGGCGGGACTCTGGGGAGGGCATCCCGACGACCTTCAGGGCCCAGGAGGTGCGCTGACCCCAGGTCAGGCCCTAGAGAAGGCCCCGACCCCGCAGGAAGGAAGAGGACCCTGAGGCGGGGAGTCCTCCTTGAGCCCCCAGGGTGGGCCCCACCACGGGGGTGGGTGACGCATCCACCACGGGTTAAAAATATCGCAGCTCACAAGGCTGCCTAGGACTCTCGGGCAGGCCGGGGCCCCGCAACGGTCCTGGGGGATCCTGGGGCACAGGGCCCGGGGAGGCCGCGGCCGAGCCGCCTCCCGGCGCCGCCCCCAGCCGCCCGAGCCCCGCTGACCCCGCGCCCAGAGACCCCGGTCCCGTCACCTGGGGAAACTAAGGCTGGGGATGCTCGCGCCCTGCCTGCGGCGCTCACCTGCTCGCCGTCCCGGTCGGCGCGTCCGTCCGCCCGTCTGTGCGCGCCGGGCCGCCGCAGTCTCTCTCCACGGTCGGGCAGGACCTCGGCGGCCGGGCGGGCCGGGCGAGGCGGGACACAGAGGAGGAACCTGAGCGACAGGTTACCGAGTCACCCGCCCCGGGCGCCAGCGGGAGCCCCCCCCCCCCCGCCCCCCCCCGACGCCCCGCCCCGCCCCGCTCCGCACAGGGAGGCGCCCGGCCGGGCCAGATCCCTCCGCGCCCCTGGACCCCGCAGCCAGCGCCTCGGAGCGCAGGGCCGGGCTGGGCCGGGCTGGGCCGGGCTGGGCCGGGCCGCCCACCACGCGGCACTCAGTTGCTCTGGGCCCCAGATTCCTCGCCAGGGGCTGCGCGCTGCAGGGGTCTGAGGGCTGCTGCCCTGGGCTATGAGAGCCGCGACCCTGCCAGTGACCCAGCCTCAGGTGGTCGAGGGCCTCTTCTGCTGCCTGTCCCGTGGCCGGGACTCTGGGGCGGAGATGTCGTCCGAGTGGGGCTCAGCAGTGGGACGCAGCTGGAACCAGACGTCCCGAGTTCGCCAGGTGGGTGGGATGGGGCTCCCTCCTTCACCATCCGGGCGCTCCCGAGACCTCTGTCCCCCTCCCCACCAGGGGTGTCTGTTGGGTGAGTGGGGACGTCCATGGCCCAGCTGTCCTGTGTTCCCACAGACAGAACAGGCCCAGCCGGGGGCTTCCAGAACTGCTGGGGGTGAGGGGTCCTGGAGGGGTCAGAGGACAGGCCTGGCTGGGGTGTGGAGGGAAGAACTTGCAGAGACCAGAGCTCAGGCTGGGTGTTTGCTGGTGAGAATGGGTCCGCCCGGACACAGGACACTGCCCGGGGAGACAGTGCCCTCTCTGGCCTGCCCCAGCCTGCGCTTGGTGCAGGGGTGAGCTTGGTGAGAGGGCAGGAAGTGGCCTTTGCCCTCGCCCAGCCGGCTCACTGATTCACAGCCAGGTGGCTGATCTCATTGAGTGACCCTGCCCTGGCCCAACACCAGGGGCCGCGAACGACCCAGTGCGAGGTTAGGGAGTTGAGGTGCATTTTTAAATTGTTATTATTTCTTGGTGCCGGGAATTGAACTCGGGTCCTTGAGCCTGCGGGGCAGACGGCAGAACCACTGAGCTAAATCCCCAGCCCCAGGTACTTTTTTAAAAAAATAAATTTCATTTTATCCCATTCCCCTCTTTGTGCTCCCTCCCCTCCCTCTGTACAAAGCCTTTGTTTCCATTTTCCCTTTTTTTTCCTTGTCTCTTCCTTCCTTTCTCCCTCTCTTCTCCCTTGGTCCTCTTCCCACTTGAACATCTTTTCGGTACTTTTTTTTTTTTTTTTGGTACCAGGAATCAAACTTAGGGCCTTGTGCTTGCAAGGCAGGCACTGTGCCACTGAGTTACATTCCCGGCCCCATTTGGTAATTTCTTTAAGGTAAATTTTACTTGGTTGGGGAGTCTAGGGAGACCCTTCCTCTCACCCTTCCGGGACAGAGCTAGGAACAGGCAGTCTTAGAAGCTGGGTGGGTCCCTACTCCCAAGCACATCACGAGGGCGCCTGGGCTGGTGCTCACGGGCAGTCTGTGGGCCCCTGGGGAACAGGTGAGCAGTGCTTGCGTGGGGCCAGAGAGAGAGGTGTCAGGCTTGAGGCCCCACGCTACGGCAACAGCCTCCTGGGGCAGAGTGCGTGTCCAGCAGGTCCTGCACATGCAGACAGTATGTGCCTGGGCCACACGGACACTGGGAGGTGTCTTCCCGTGCTGCGTGGAGCGCTGTGAAGCTCAGGTTGGAAAGCGGGTCTGTCCTGACATTCACTGTGGCCTCTGAGGGTCTCAGGTCACAGTCGGTAAAGGGTCATGGTAAGGACAGGCGGGGGCCAGTCTCCCACAAGGTGTCCTGGCCGGGCACTCTGGGAGGCGTGAGGGCAAGAGGCCTGAGTCTCTGCACCAGACGTGGGGAGTGGGTGGCCATAATTAAAGAGGAGTTCATGGAGATATAGACGTGTATTTATTATTCCAAACAGAAAACAACAAATGAGGAACCCTACTACAAAAACCAGCATTTTTTTTCCAGTACTGGGAATTGAGTCCAGGGAGTAATGAGCCAACCCCCAGTCCTTTTTCAATTCTCAATTTTTTTTTTTTTTTTTTGTACTGGGGATCGAACTTGGGTCCTTGCACCTGCACAGCAGGCGGGGCAACCACTGAGCTAAATCCCTGCCCCTCAATTTCTAATTTTGAGACAGGGTCTCATTACGTACCCAAATTGCCCAGGGTGGGATGGAACTTGTCATCCTCCTGCCTCAGCCTTCCAAGTAGCTAGGATCGCAGGTGTGGACCACCACAACTTTACTTTTTTCTTTTGGTACTGGGGAACAAACCCAGGACCTTGCACTTGCCAGGCAAGTGCGGTGCCACTGAGCCACATCCCCAGCCCCAAATGTTATTTTTGGTGCTGGGGATTGAACTCAGGACCTCACACTTGCCAGGCAGGTGCCGTACCACTGAGCTACATTCCCAGCCAACTAAGCAGCACTAGGCTTTAAGTCTGAGGATGGAAAAAAGTTAGATGTGAGATGGAGTTTGTTCAGTGGCAAGCACAGCTATTACTGTAGTGTAGTGCGGCTCAGAGACCTCAGACAGAAGGAATTTCTACCTGCCCGGACCCCCAGGAGGAGGAGGTGGCTGAGGTGAGACTTTGGCACACAGCAGCCCTGTGGGGTGCTCCCTGGGGCAGCAGAGAAAAGTGGCTTTCAGGACACGGATAAGGACAGAGTGGGGAGTACAGGCTGATGAGAGCTGCTGTGTGCGGATACACGGGACTGTGCGTGACCAGCTCGCCCTGGGATGGATGCAGAAACACGAGGGCGTGTTTCTCAGGGGAAGTGACAGGGCGGAGCCACTGGACCACCCCAGGGTGATCTCATGTCTGAAGGGCTCTGTCCTCCCTGGATCCTGGTGGTCAGTGGTGGCCGGTCTGCTGAAGCTAGGACCGGTACAGGGCCTGAGTGGGCTCCCCGGGGGTCCCCCCAAGCTGTGCTCAATGCCTGGGCCCCCAACAGTATGCCCTAGTTCTTTCTGCCTGCAAAGATAAACTGCTCATGGTACACCAGCAGGACAGTGGTGGGCTGGGTTTATCTGACAAAGGCTGTGATTACCACCACCTGCAGGGCGGCTTCCAGGCCATGCAGTGCCAGGAGTGTGGTGCTGAGAACCCAGTCTGCCCACAGCACCATGGTCTGCCAGAGAAGGAAGTAGACAGAAAGTAGCCCGATGCCCACTGTGAGGGCCACGCTGGCAGCCAGTGGCACCTCAGCTTCTGTCAGGTTGCCCTTCATGCCTGGGGAGACAGAAACAGAGAGTGAGGTGGGGGCTGCAGGATGCCCAGCCCCCATGCCCAGCCTGCTGCCACCACCCAGGACCCGGCATATGACCAAATGGCTTCTAAAACCATGAACATCTGCCACCTTTTCTGACTCTACAAGGGCACCGAGGGATTCTGTGTAAAACTTCCAGAAATATTTTCCCCTGTGCTTAGGCTGTCCTGGAAACTTCACAAATGCTCATAAAAGCTAAAGCTGCACATTGTACACAGTGGGTCAGTCACAGAAAATACCAATCAAAGCTGCCACCAGCCAAGCCAGCTGCCGGGGTTCCCCTTGGCCCTGGGGTGTCGAGGGTCTGTGGAGTGCATGCATCTGGGACTGTAACATTCAGCATTCTGGGCCGGGGATTTAGCTCAGTGGTTCCGAAGCCTGCCTCACAAGTTCAAGGTCCCGAGTTCGATTCCCTGTAACTGCCCCCAAAAGAAATTGTAACACAAGATTCAGCATAGCATGGGCACCAGAAGCCCCAGCCACACCTCATGGGGTCGAGCCCTGGTTTAACAGGAAGGGTGGGTACAGGCCGCCTCAGTTTCCTCACTGTTATGGGAGGTCCTGGGGTCAGAGCCTCTTCCCACAGCAGTCCCACAGTCCTCGTGACCCTGGGCATAGTGCAGAGGGCCGGTGGAGGCCAGGGGCAGCAGCTGCTCTGGGGAAGAGGGGTTTCCACGTATGCCTGCTGTCTGCCTTGAGTCCTGTAGAAGGTCCCTGTGTGATTAAAGGAGAGGGATTTGGCCAAGCACTTTGGGACCCAAGCTGGATAGGGCCCTGACACCTGTCCCTGCTCTAAGAAACGGTTAATACTTAATGTGCTGTAAGGGGCCTCGAAAAACACCTGGTACACTGGGGAGACTCTCCAAGAGCCCAATGCTAAAGTGCTTAACATCTATAGGCTGCCAGCACCACAGCCTTCGATGTTTCACAGCCAACTCACCCAGGTGCAGCCTCGCTGCTTCCAGAGGCCCCATCAGAGACAGCAGCATCAGGTCGAGGCCCAGGTAGCTGTGAGGACAGCTGAAAACCCGGCCTAGGGCAGACAGCTCAGTGGCCCACAGTGACAGTGGCTGCTTAGCCCTGCCGTGCCGTGTGTGACCCACCCCCACCCCCACCCCCACCGGGGATGGAACCCAGGGCTTTTCCACTGAGCTACATCCCCAACGCGTTCTAAAAATTTTTTAATTCTGAGAGAGGGTCTCACTAAGCTGCCCAGGCCTGCCTCGATCTTGGGCCCCTCCTGCCTCAGGTTCCCGGAGTGACTTACTTTTATATACGATCATCAGGAGTGTGGCCAGAAAATACAGGGCGCAGTATATCCCGCTGAGATGAAACAGCATCTGAAGAGGAACTGAGGAGAGCTGGCAGGTGGTCAAGGGTCCTCCAGCTCAGCACTCTGGGGTGAACCTGCCCAGGCAGCCAAACCAGAGGGGCGGGTTCTGCCATCGGTCCCGTGGCCACAGACAAGCACATCCGCTTCCAGCTCTGACAGGTGGACGTGTGCAGGTGGACATGGAGGTGCAGCACTGGCTCCTACCTGGGTCCCACGACCGTGCCAGGTCCTGATGGGCACAAGGGCAAGGCAGGAGCCTTCCTACCCCACCAGAGCATGGGTGGAGCACAGGCCCTGAGGCTGGTGGGGCTCCACCTGGAGCTCTGGGTGACCTCACTTGGCACTTGTTCCACATAGAAAAAGAGCAGTACTGTTGTGTTCTACAGGGAAACATATCTCAGTTTGGGGGCAGATAAATGTCCTCTGGCAATTTCCTAACATTGTTTACTTTTCAGCAGTCACACTAGAAGGAGTCTATGGCCATCCAAAGTGAGGGGTTTCCATCTTTCTGCCTGGTGGCCCTTGGTAGAGAGCGGAGTCTCCCTGGGGCACCAGGCTTGTACCAGGAACAGAGCTGAGGGGGTGGAGGTGGGCAATGGAGCCCCGACACCTCGCTCAGAGGAAGTTTCACCAGCTCTCTCCACTGTCAGAACACCCCTCCCTCTTAAGTCACCATAAAAATGTAAGGAAAAGGTGGGGTGGGCATAAGAGGAAAAGGCAGAGACCTGGCTGCCAGCCGTGATCAGCCCCAAGGGGCTGCCTGCCAGAGCCAGGACCTGGCAGAGAGAGCAGGATGCAGCCACTGCAGGATACCACCGAGGAGGAGCCTCTCCCTGGAAGAGAAAGGGTGGTCAGTGAGGCCCAGTCCTATAAGATGCTCTCCTGGGCCTCGCAGTACCGAGCTGATAGTCTCACTCCACTGAGCTCCTAGTTACAGGAGGAAGTGCACATTACAGGGCCTGTAGCTAAGTCTCTGCCGTCACCTGTGCATCCGTCCCTTTGAGGAGGACATCATCATCTAAGCCTCCCCAGAGCCCAGGGACAGCCTGTACCCTGGAGCACAGGGCAGGGTCAGAGGTGGAACCTCTGACCTGCCCGAGGCCAGACTAGACAGGAAAGGTGAGACTCACACTTCAGAGCAAAGTGCCTGAGGGTAAACCCAGGAGTGCTTTTCACCATGTGTGATCTCTGCACGTGCCACATGTATGCAGTTACAACCACCTGCTTTCTCATGTGACCTCTAAGAAATCATTTTTCTGAATTGGTCATAGACATTTGCTCTGCTCTGGAATTTGATCCATTTCCCTAGAATATCCCTGTGGAGAGAACCTGTCCCAAATGAGCCATCAAATGTGCAGCCTCAGTCCTCCACCCACCCTGCCACAGGTGTCTTTCCCATCCTGTGGGAGGTGCACAGCCCCTGTCCTGAGGACCCCTTTGGCTGGTGCCTGGAAGGGGATGTGACCTGGACCAGACTGCGTCTTTGAGGCAGAGCTGTGGACTCTCTCGTGGGCAGGCGTCACAGGTCAGTAAACTCAGGATGTCAGTAACAGACCCTGGCCTTGGCTCCTAGCAGGCACACGTGCAGAAGCAGGAAGCTGAAGGTGAAGGCGCAGCATCACCTTACAGCAGGTGCTCTTTAAATCTGATCTGCTCTTTTCCAGCCCCAGCTGAACTAGGTTACCTCAATACCTGTCATTATTTGGGTCAGTTTCATATTAATTGGGGGTTTCACATTAAATGAGGTTTTCCTCACTCCTGACCCTTCTCTTAAAGGTTGGTGTCAGAGCCAGGGGAGTGGCTCATTGATACAGCAACTGCCCAACATGAGGGAGGCCCTGGCTTCAATCCCTAACACAGGAAAAATAAAATAATAAAAAAGCTACCATCAGAATCATTGCAAATGATAGTTGCCCATTATTACAGGTCAAAATTGTGGGGATTAGGAAACAAAACCTCATAAAAACCTGTGTAAAAACCTCATGTGTGGGCCAGTGATTTAGCTCAGTGGTTCCGCCTGCCTTGTAAGCGCAAGGACCCAAGTTTGATCCCTGGTACCAAAAAAACCCCAAAACCAAAACCTCATGTGACATAGCATCTGAATAATTAACACAAAGGTCAGGTACAGTCAGACCTGTAGTCCCAACAATTTCAGACCTAAAGGAGCTCATTCTGACTTAATGTATTTGGACTGGCTTTGGGACTTAACACTTATTGCCAATGATTTAATGTAGTCACCACATGACTACCAACAATGTAGAAGTAAAGGAGAACGAATGTTTTCCCTGGTGTACTGGGGAAGATTGGGAAGAGATGCTGTCTGATATAAACTTTTATTTTTAATATTTGCTGTACTGAGAAATGAACCCAAGGCCTAATGCATGCAAAGAAAGTTCTCTACCACAGAGCTAGAGCCCCACCTCTTAATTTTTTTTTTTTAAGCAAATGAAAATACAGAAGCAAATCTAATTTGCAGAGGACTTCCAAACAAGGGCTGGCAATTTGGAAACCCTCTGTAAGGTGACAGGTAGTTCTTTGTGGGGTGGCCTGCCAATGCTTAGTGCATCCTCTTAGCAAGGGATATGGAAACCAGGCCTTTAACTAGTGCTGTGACAGTAATTCCAAGGCCCCAACCCACACGGGATCTTTAAATTTATCACAAATGTTATTCAGTTACCTCGGAATAAAGACTAGTCCCAGATGGAGTGGTGGGTACTGTCATAGCCACTGGTGCTGTGGCAGAAGCCGCTCAGGTAGCCCCAGTGTAGGGAGTGTTGCACCACCAGACACACCCAACACACCCAAAATGTGTTCCAGGGAGGAACTCTTTTTTTTTTTAACCTTGGAAGACAAATTAATGAAACTAACTCTGGAGGAAATATAAAATTGAATAGCACCTATTAAAGAAAGTATATTCCTAACTTGAAAACCTACCTATATGACAACAGCAGGCTCATACACATTTTAACTGATAAATTATATCAAACATTTAAAGCAGAAAAAAGAAGGGACACTGCTCTCCTCATTTTAGGAACTCAACATTGTGCTAATCCTAAAACTGGATAAAGATCAGGGAGGAACTCGGGAGAACAGCGATGGATGTGCGTAGGCCTGCAAAGGCTGTGACCAGCTTCCCACTTGGGCTGCTGGTGCCTGGCCCTGCCCACCTCTGCTTCTCATCCAGGGACGCTGCTTGGCGCCAGCCGTGCAAGAGCCCCAGGCCTCAGACACCACCAAGGCAGGGACAGCTCCTAGCCAGGGCACCCAAGCATGGTTGGGGCGAGTCACAGATGTGCAGTGTGCTGTAAGTGTATGCAGGGGCGAGCCCAGAGTGTGCCCAGGTATGCTGCACGTGTGTCCAGTGTGCGCACAGGTGAGCCACGGGTACGCCGGGGTGAACCGCGGATTTGCTTAGGTGCGTCCCAGGTGGGTGTGCTCGGGAAGGTCCTCGCCAAGCAGACAAAATCGTACCCCTCCCTCCCAGGCCCGGGCGCGGCGCCAGGGCGTCCGCCGCAAATGTCTGAATGAAGGGGGCTGCGTCCGCCAGGGCCAGTACGGCGGAGTGGCGGGGAATCGGAGGCGCCAGTCCTGTGCTCGTGGCTTGCGCCGAGACAGCGGGACCACAGCTACATGGCGACCGCGCGGCCCCGCCCGCTCACCCGGCCGTGCGGCCGCCATCTTGCCGTCGGGTCCGCCACGATCCCGGCAGCCTCTCGGCCGCGCCCCACCGCCATCTTCGTTCCTCACGCCGCGCCCGGGAACGTTGTCCAACCGCGGCCGAGCTGATTCGGCGTCCGGCAGCGCTCGGGCACTTCCGGACAGAAGGAGGCGGGAGCTGAGGCTCGGAAAGGTTCGGGTTCGGGCTCGGGGACGTTCGGTGGAGCTCGGCTCCTCCTCGGGCCCCCTCGGCTTCCGGCGGCGGCGGGGGCGGGAGAAGCTGGTGGCCCAGGGCTCTCCCGTGCGAGGCCGAGTTGTGTTAGAGGCGCGCGAAACTCGGCCGAGAGCCGGCCCGCTGCGTCGGCAGACGAAGACAGCCAACCTCTAGCCTCCTAGGGAGTGCGGAGGAAACGCTCGGAACCATTCGGACAGACCCGGTCAGCACTTCGTGAAATTTCGGCCTTCCTCGGTTCGCGACTTGTGGCCTCGGGTCAGCTCGGCTCAGTTCGGCTCGGCGGGGGAGGTGGCCTCGGCTCTGCTCGGCGGGAGCCCGGACTCTGCTTCGGCCCCTGATCGGGCGGCGGCTTCGGGCGGCCTCGGCCCGTCTCGGGCGGACTCTTCGGCCCCGCTTCGGGCGGCCTCGGCCAGCGCCTTCGGGCGTGCTCGGCGGAGTCCGGATGGAGGACTCGGACTCGGCCGCAAAGCAGCTGGGCCTGGCCGAAGCAGCGGCGGTAGCGGCCGCGGCCGCTGTGGCGGCGGCGGCCGCGGCGGCGGCGGCGGCCGCGGCCGCAGCAGGGGACGAGGCCGAGGAGCCGGTGCTGAGCAGAGACGAGGACTCAGAGGAAGACGCAGACTCGGAGGCGGAGCGCGAGGCGCGGCGGGTCACGGCCGTGGCGGTGATGGCGGCGGAGCCCGCGCACATGGACATGGGCGCCGAGGCCCTACCAGGGCCCGACGAGGCCGCAGCCGCCGCCGCCTTCGCAGGCAAGTGGGTCACCGCGCACCTGTCCCTTGTGCACCTACTCAGTACCTGCCCCACATGCACTTCACCGAGCACCTGACCTGCTCACCTATCATGCACACCTGTTTGCCCCTCACGCCTGTCCCGCATGCACTGCACACTTGCCTCACATGCCTCACACACCTGTTCTGCGTGCACTGCACCTGCCCCGTTTGCACCTGCCCTGCATGCACAGTGCCATGCACCTGTCCCTCATGCCTGCCCCACACCTGCTTTACCTGCCCTGCACACCTACTCCATGCGCCTGCCCCTCATTCTTGTCTTCCACCAGCTCCACACATTTGCTCCACACCAGCGTCATGCCAGGCCCGCACCTGTACCATGCACCTGCCACACACCTGCTCCATGTGCCTACCTCGTACCTTTTCTGCACATATGCACCACATACCAGTCCTGCACTGCACACCTGCCTAGCACTGTGCACTTGTCCCACACCAGCCTTGAGTCCGCTCCCCCCTCCCATATATTTGCCCCATACCAGTCCTGCACACCTTCTCTGGATCTGTCTTGTCTATCCACCCCACACCTGTGCCACACACCTGTCCCGCACACCTGCCCTGTGCACCTGCCTTATACCCACCCCACTCTGATGGCCTGGCCCTGCTGTGGATGTGTACTTGCTCCCTCACTCGAGCGTGGCTCTGCTGCTGTTCCTTCTGGACCCCTTCTGGACCCCTCTCACCTCTCGCCCTCCCTATCTCCCCCTCCCTCCTGGGAGCTGGCAGGTTAGGAGGGTTAGATGCGGACCCTGCCCAGGAAGAACTCAGGTGATGGCGGTGGAAGGGGCCGTGTTTGGTTGCCTGAACACCCAGAGAGCCTTCGTGCAGAGGTACTCCTGTCAGGCTGGCCACTCCATGGTCACTTGCCCTTTGGAGCTCTCCCTTCCCTCCCTCTGTCACTTCTATTTAGCACAGCACCCTCACGCAGGTTTCCTGGTACTGGGAAGCAGGAGCTGTGGCTGGGGTGCCCTGGGGAGGTCCTGTGTCTCTTCTCTAGTGCCACACCTCTCCCCAGCTATGGCTCCCAGAGGTGCGCACACCCTGGGAAGAATGTTTTGCTTTCTCATTGCTTCTCAGAGCCTTTTCTTGTAAGGGGCCTTGCCGTGTGAGGTGCTGTCCAGCCCTGTGAGAAACCTCGGAGGAGTCTGGCAGCTTGTTTGGCCCCACTGGATCTTGGTGGTGGGGCCCAGTCACCTCGCTCAGTGCTGCTCGTCCTTGAGTGGTCTGTTGCTCTACTCACAGAAGACAGGGAGGTGTCATGGCACCCTTAGTGGTGTTTTCATCCATGGACTCTGCAATGATGTTGAGATTTTGGGCCATGAGATTTTTGTCCCTTAAGAACTTATTTTTCTAAAGGCCGGGGATTTAGCTCAGTGGTTTCACTGCCTGCTGCACAAGTGCAAGGAACCGAGTTCGATCTCTGGTACCTAAAAAAAAAAAGAACTTAATTTTTCTGAGTGCAGAAAAGAAATGCTGTATTGCCCATTGTGACATTAGAGATGTTTATGTTGTAAGTTTTTTCTGCAGATTGTTTTTTTTTTTTTTATTGAATGCTGAGACTAAAACTGAGGGCTTTGGGTGTGCTGGCAAGCGTGTTGCCACCTGGCTACATCCCCAGCCTTTCTGCAGAATTTTATAGTTGTGCTTTCAAATTTTTTGGATATGAATTACTGAGGTCAGGTAACCAGGTGACCCAGCAGAGTAGGCCACCTTCTGAGGCTGCCTTTGGTGCATGGTTGCTTGAGCTGACTTCAGACCTGCATGCAGACCCGGGCCCTAGGCTGGAGCTGTGGGTTCAATGCTAGTTGAGGGTGAGGTTGAGGTGGCTGCATGTGGTTGGCGCGAGCTTGTCAGTGTGGAGTCTCCAGGCAGCGTCTGTGAGCGCTGCCTCCCCCGACATGAACATTCTGGAATGCTGGGTGAGAGGGGACCTCTTACTTTTGCAGAGGTGAGGAAGGTTGTGTGAAGGACAGTGGTGGCAGGGGCAGGGTGAGGAGATAGGAGCTGCCAGCCCAACTGGGTGACAGTGTGGCAGAGTTCAGCATACTGTCAGGGAGCCACTGTGTGCACTTAGGGAGCACTTGTCCACACTGAGGGCCACAGTCCACGTTGCCAGGCTGGCATGTGCAGGAGGGACACACTTCTCTGGAGGCAGATTGGTGGGGAAGACTTGGGGACTGCACATGGAGTGGTGGGCAGAGCGCTGTGGTCACCGGAGGGGTGGCCAGGCTGTGGCCACAGAGGACCCGGAGGGAGAGATGGGGTCGAGCCTGCTCTCTGTGACCAGCAGCACAGGTGTCCCTGTTGTGCCCGAGGCTTAGGCCTCATGTAGGTATAGGCGAGGTGACCAGGGGCAGCCTCTCCCAGCGAAAAGAGAGGCTGAGGTCCAGCGCTCAGTGGTGGCTCTGTGTGAGGGGTGGTTTACGGTGGCTGTCGCTGCACATAAGAGGCTTTATGGAGTGAATGTTGGAAGAATCTGCTGGAAAGTAAAATAGGTAAAACTTGAAGACGTAGGTGTAGACAAGCACTTTCTGAACAGAGCCCAGGCAGTAAAAAATAGCACCAAGAGGGCCGGGGATTTAGCTCAGTGGTGCCACCGCTGCCTCCCAAGTGCAAGGTCCCGAGTTTGATCTCCCGTACCAAAAAAAAAAAACACCAAGAATCAACAAAGGGGATCATATCAAATTAAAAAGCTTTTGCACAGCAAAGGAAACGGCCAGCAGCGAAGAGAACCTACAGAGTGGAAAAAACACTTTACCTCAGAGCACTAATATCTAGAACATATAAAGAACTCAAAAAATTAGACACCCCCCCAAAGTAAAAGACCCAATCAAAACATAGGCAAGTGAAATAGACACTTTTCAGGAGAAATACAAATAGCCAATAAATACGTTAAAAAATGTTCAACATCCATGGCCATTAGAGAAATGCAAATTAAAATAGCACTGAGATTCTGCCTTACTCTAGAAAGAATGGTTATCATCAAGAAATAAAATAACAATTGCTGTCGAGGCTTCAAAGAAAAAGGAACCCTTCTACACTGTTGGTGGGAATGTAAAGTAGTATATCCATTATACAAATCAGTACAGTGATTCCTTAAAAAACAAACTGGGCCAGGCATGGTGGCACACACCTGTAATCCCAGAAAGTGGGAGGCTTGGGCAGGAGGATCTCACCAAGTTCGAGGCCACTCTGGTCCATAGTGAGTTCAAGGCCAGCCTGGACTGTTTTGTAAGACATTGTCTAAAAAAGCAAAAAAGCAAAAAAAGTAGAAATTCCATTCAACCTAACTCTTCCCTTTCTAGGTATCTTCCTGAAAGAGTTAAAGACATCATATTACAGTGATATATTATGCCCATGTTTATAACAGCACAATTTGTAGTAGCTAAATGTTACAAATAACCTATATGTTCAGTAGATGAATGGATAAAGAAAGTATGGTATTTATATACAGTGGAATACGGCTCTGCCGTGAAGAAGCATACATCTGAGTCATTTGTAGGAAAATGGATGCATTTTGAGACCATAATGTTAAGTGAAATAAATTAGATGCACAAGCTTAAATATTACATGGTTTCTCTTATGTGAGAAACCCAAAGTGTAAATAAAGACCAAACTGAAATATAAATAATAGGATGTAGGGAGACGGATCTTTGTCAAAAAGGAAGTAGACCAAGAGATAAGAGAGGAAAGTGGATGAAAAAAACTAAGATGTGTTAAGTACACACACCAACTCCTCATAAGGAACAGACATGTTATGTCCTGCAAACATGGACTAATAAAAATTGAAAAGTAAGTTAGAGTCTTTATCAGGGAGGACGAATGTCTCTGTTCCTGGAGAACCGGGAGACTGAGACTGGTTGGAATCTGAGCACTGCTAAAGCAAAGCACGAGTGCCTCACTGCATGCGCGTGGACCATGTGGAGCCTCGGCTGGGCCCCACTGTGAGGCTGTCGCCTTTCAGAGTTCTGGCACTTGTCAAGTGTAAAGTCAGGCTCCTTCTGTTGCAGAAGTTACCACGGTGACAGTAGCCAACGTGGGCGCCTCTGCAGACAATGTCTTCACAACCTCGGTGGCAAACGCTGCGTCCATCTCAGGACACGTCCTGGTGAGCTGCCCACAGGGTAGGGCGGGGCTGCACTTGGTGCCTGGGGCGGGAGGGGGACATTTGCTCCCCAGGCCTCCCAGGGTCCCCCTGGAGGCTGGCTCTGCCCACACATGTTCTGGTCTGGAGGCTCTCTAGGTCCGTCTCACTGACTTCTTTTCACTGGGAGCCATCAGAGCCGTGCACGGTCTGTTAGGGACTTGGTGATCCTGTGGCCGGGCAGGGGCAGGAGAGGCTGCACCTAGGCACATGTTCATTCTTCAGCTGTGCTCAGGCCTGCAGACTTGGGCTTGGGCTTGCTTCATCTCGGCTCTATCTGTAAGCCTCTCAGGGACATCTCTGAGGTGGATATGAGGTGACCGTGTCATGTCCCCTAGATGGCAACAGATGGTGAGAGCCTTTGTAGGGCTGCGTCCTGCTGGGGTAGGTGATGTACCTGTGGCTGTCCTTGTAGCTGACCCCGTGGACATGTCCTCTCTCCCAGTCCGGCAGGACCGCACTACAGATCGGGGACAGCCTGAACACCGAGAAGGCCACACTGATTGTCGTCCACACAGATGGGAGCATCGTGGAGACCACTGGGCTGAAGGGTCCAGCAGCTCCTCTCACCCCAGGTACCCTCGGCCCTTTCCACAGGACCCTGGAGTTCAATTCCGTGGTAAATTTGGAATGCCAGATAGCAGACCTGAGTGGAAAAGGCAGAGTTTTCCAGCCAGAAAAGGGTGTTGCCCTCAGGTGAGGCTCTGGCCTTGCTGGCCTCATCCTCACAGCCCCTCTTTGCCCCAGGCTCTCAGTCTCCTCCAACCCCACTGGCTCCCGGCCAGGAAAAAGGAGCTACCAAGTACAACTGGGACCCGTCAGTGTACGACAGCGAGCTGCCCGTGCGCTGTAGGAACATCAGTGGCACACTTTACAAGAGCAGGCTGGGCTCAGGTAAGGTTGCGCTGCCCGTCTCAGGTCCCCCCATCAGGAAGCTGAGGCCAGGGCTGTGCACTGTGTAGCCCCTACGACCAGGGTCCAGGCCACAGAAGAAACGGGGAGGGTCAGCCCATCATTTGGGGTCCCACTGACCTGGGCAGGTGGGGTGGGAAAGGATAGGGCTGAGCATACTTCCCACATGGCCTGGTCAGCTCGGACTTGGGGCAGACACTCAGGGATGTGGCGGAGCTTGCGATGACCACGGGCCAGAGTGCAAGGTGAGACGGGCGATTGGGGCACAGCCAGAAAGGAATCTGAGCAGAGATTTGCCCTGGGCAGCCTTGGAGTGACCGTGCAGTCGCAGAGGCCAGGCAGGAAGCCGAGGAAGAGAGGAGAGGGCAGGAAGGGCCCGCAGGGTGCATGTGCAGTTGATGATGGCCACTTTTGCCCCAGGGGGCCGGGGGCGCTGCATTAAGCAGGGGGAAAACTGGTACAGCCCGACGGAGTTTGAGGCCATGGCAGGAAGAGCCAGTAGCAAGGACTGGAAGAGAAGCATCCGCTATGCGGGCCGGCCGCTTCAGTGCCTCATCCAGGTACGACCACACTGGTCTGTGCATTAGGGCCTGTCTCAGAGAGACCAGAGGCTAGGGCTGGGCCCGAGGCAGGGGAAGTGTGGGCCTAGGCCTCTGGGTCCTGGCTCTGCTTGCTGTGTCATCATGGGTGTGGCACCTATACCCTTAGCTTTCCATGGGATGGTGCTGGTATTGCCCACAGGGTTGTGGGACTTGCAAGAGGTGGCGCTGAGCATAGAGAACTTTAGATACAGGAAGAGTACAGGTTGAAGCCAGGCATGGTGGTACACACTGTAAACCCCAGGCTCTGGGAGGCTCAGGCAGGAGAATGGAAACTTTAAGCCTAGCCTGGGCCATTTAGCAACTTAATGAGAGCTGGTCTCAAAATAAAAAATAAAAAGGGGCTGGGGATGTAGCCCAGTGTGAAGGCCCTGAGTTAAATCCTTGGTACTGCCAAAAAGATTTTAAAAATTCAAGCAGAAGTCAGGGCAGTAGCTCCTGGTTGCGGGGGGGGCCGCTGCTGCTGTGGCACCTGCTGTTCCTCACTCAGTCCACTCCAGAGGGAAGGGGCCTGAGCCAAGACTGGCTGGGGAACAGCACTGTAGAGCCCTCTCATGCCACACCACCACTGATGGCACCTTGCAGACCAGAGTTTCTGGAAGCAACTCATATCCTTTCTGAGTGGAAGGCAGATATTAGGCCTTAGCAGTCTCAGGGTGGGTGGCACATGCTCAGCTGGCTCTGACTCTGTGCTACTTTTTCTGCCTTGCAGGATGGGATCTTGAATCCCCATGCAGCCTCTTGCACCTGTGCAGCCTGCTGTGATGACATGACCCTGGTGAGTCATCAGCACATATGGCCTGGCCCCCCCACTTCCCGCCCTCCTCCCACTGGCCCTTGGCCTGGGTGGATGCCAGGCACTTCCCTCTGCCCCTACCTGCTCCCACGCCTGAGCAGGGCAAGTTGCAGGGTGGCCTAGGAGAGTCACAGCAAGCCTGCCACGTGGAAGGCTCCGTGCTGCTCCCATGCCAGCCCAGGACCCAGACTCATGCACTTTAAATGGTCACATGTGTGTGTGTTGCATCACCTCCTGAACTTTGAACAGTGTGCCTTAGTTACTTTCTCCTTGATGAGACATAGTATCCAACACCCACAAGCGTACAGAGGAAAGATGGATCCCAGTTTGTAGTGGTTTTAGTCCACAGCTGGCTGCAAGGGAGGGAAGCATGGCAGAGGGAAACAGCTCATGGAATGGCAAGCAGAAATGAGAGTGATCAAGGGAGGAGGAGGGAGACTGACCCTTCTGGGCACACCCCCAGTGACCACCTCCTCTGACCCAGACTTCACCTCCCAATGTCACATTTAGCTTTAAACTCAGCAGTAGACTAATCTACCTCCCAAAAGCCCCACTTATGAGCATGTGAAGCATTAGGGGCCATCTAGATATAAACCGTAACTCTGTTGTAACGGTATTATGAATTCACAAATATTTGTGGGTAGGGCTGTTAATGTCCTTAAAACATCGCTTTGTCCTAAACTGTCTGCTTGAGAAAGGAACAAAATCTTCTTTGTTGGGGCTGGGGATTTAGCTCAGTGGTTCTGCCACCTGCCTTGGAAGCACAAGGTCCCAAGTTTGATCTCCAGTACCAAAAAAAAAAAAACTTCTTTGTTGATTTTTGTATCTATTGCTGCACAGCTTGCAGAAGCATGATACTAATTTGTAAGTATGACCTTACCAGTTTTGCATCAGGTTTCCTTAGGCTTAATATATACTATTGGTTTTTTTTTTGAAGCAAAACCTTTATTGGTACATTTTAGGTAATACATGATAATAACATCACTGTAGGGAATTTGTACCTGCACATGATACCTCTTCATTCTTTTTTTCTCATCTCCCCCTCCCTTTGACCTCTCTTCCCCTCTTTATTTACAAAACCTTTATTTCCATTTTTTCCTTCTGTACTTTTTTCCTTGTCCCTTCTTTCCTTTCCCTCTCCTCCCACCCATGTTCCCCTTGTCATTTGAACATTTTCTTCCCATTTCCCAATATCTATTATATATTTTGCTCCTTATTTCCACTTTTGGTTTCTCACACCAGAGAAACAATTTGATTTTTACATGTGTGTTGGATTTTTCTTACTTAAGAGTATAGTCTTAAGATGTATTCATTTAGCTAGAAATGTCTCAAGCTTATCCTTCTTTATGGCAAAGTAGTACTCCCTTGTATAAAAAAACTCATCTTTATTCGTTGGTTGATGGGCATATGGGCTGTTTCCAAAATGTCACTATTACAAACTGCTGCTGTAAACATGGGTGTACATATATCCCTGTGGTATGATGCTTTTAATTCTTTTGAGAAGATACCAAGAAGGGGAATAGCTAGGTCGAATGGAATCTGTAGTTTTAGTATTTTGAGGAATCTCCACACTGATTTCCACAGTGGCTGCACCAGTCTGCACTCCCACCAACAGTGGAGAAGGGTTCCTCTTTCCCCACAGCCCTGCCAGCATTTGTTATTGGGTGATTTCTTTCTAACAGCCATTCTTTCTGGAGTGAGCTGGAATCTTAGCATTGTTTTACTTTGCATTTCTCAAATGACCAGTGATGTTAAACCTTTTCGTTTGTTTGTTTGGTACCAGGAATCCAACTCAGGGCCTCACACTTGCCAGGCCGACGTGGTGTTGCTGAGGCTACATCCCTGGCCATATTTTCATATATTTATTTGCCATTTCTACTTATTCATCTGAGAAATGCCTGTTCATTTCAAATGCCTATTTTTGTTTTTTGTTTTGTTTTCTTTTGTTTTTGGTACCGGGGATCGAACTTGGGATCTGGCACTTGTGAGGCAGGTGCCGGAACCACTGAGCTAAATCCCCAGCCCCAGATGCCTATTTTTGGATTAGGTCTTTAAATTTGGGGGGGGGGTCTGATTTTTTTGAGTTCTTTATATATTCTAGATAGTAGTCCTTTGTCTGAGGAATAGCTGGCAAAATTTTTTCCCCACACTGTGGGTTGTCTCTTCACTCTGTTGGCGGTTTCTCTTGTTGTGCAAAAGCTTTTTAATAAGATGACATCTCAGTTGTTGATTCTTTATGATACTTCCTCTGTGACTGGAGTTTTGTTCATAAAGTCTGCCTACACCAATGTCTTCAAGAGTTCTACCTATTCTATTTTCCAGCAGATTTAGTATTTGTGTTTTAATATTTAGACCTTTGAACCATTTTGATTTTAGTTTAATGCATGGTGAAAGATATGAGTGTAGTTTTAATCTTTACCATGTGGAAAGCCAGTTTTTCCAGCACCATTTATTAAAATATCTTTCTTCTAGTGAAGGTGTTTGGCTCCTTTGTCAGAGATAAGGTGCCTGAGTATGACTGGAGTTGTTTCTGCATCTTCTAATCTGTTCCATTTATCCTCCTGTCTGTTTTGCTTTTGTTTTTGTTTTGCCAGTACTGTGCTATTTTTATCACAATAGCTTTATAGTGTAATCCCCCCACCACCACCACCGGGGATGGAATTCAGGACCTTGTGCTTGCGAGCCATGCGTGGCACCGCTGAGCTAAATACCCAGTCTTTATAGTGTAATTTCAGTTCGGGGATTGTGATCCCCATTGTCTTGCGTTTGGTGCCCAGAATTGCTTTTGCTGTTCTAGGTCTCTTCTGGTTCCAAATGAATTTTAGGATTGTTTTCTCTAATTCTGTGAGATATGCTGTTGGTTTTTTGATTGGGATTGCATTAAATCTGTATAATAATTTTGGAAGTACAGCCATTTTCACTATATTGGTTCTTCCTATCCAAGAACAAGGAATATCTTTCCATTTTCTGATATCCTCTTTGATTTCCTTTCTGTTTGTTTGTTTTTGGTGTTAGGGATCGAACTTTGGTCCTTGAACTTTCGAGGCAGGTGGCAGAACCACTGAGCTAAATCCCTGGCCCTTTGATTTCCCTTTTCAGAGTGCTGTAGTTTTCCACGTAAAGGTCTTTAACTTCCTTTGTTACATTGATTCCTAGGTATTTCATTTTTCTGGGTGCTATTATAAAAGGTATTGTTTCCCTAATTTCTCTCTCCCTGAGTTTATTTGTGTAAAGGAATGCTATTGATTTTTGAGTGTTGACTTTGTATCCAGCTATACTTCTGAATTTGGTTATTAAATCTAGAAGTCTTTTGGTGGAGTTTTGGGGGTCTTCTATGTACAGTATCATGTCAAATAATGATAATTTAACTTCTTTCTTTGCTTCCTTACTTTTTACTTCTTGTCTAATTGTTTTTTGTTTTGGGGGGGGGTTTTGGTACCAGGGATCCAACTTGGGACCTTGCGCTTGCAAGGCAGGCGGCAGAACCACTGAACTAAATCCCCGACCTTCTTGTCTAATTGTTCTGGCTAATGTTTCCAGAACTACATTAGAGTAAGAGTAGTGACAGTGGACATCTTTGTCTTCTTCCTGATTTTAGAGTGAATGCTTTCAACTTTGCTGCATTTAATATGATGTTGACTGTTGATTTGTCATGATGGCTTTTATCAGATTGAGATAAAGAGCATCTATTCAATTTTCTGTGGGTTTTTTTAATACATAAATGGGTGTTGGACTTTGTCAAATATTTTTTCTGCATCTATTGAGATAATGATATGGTTTTTGTCCTTGACTCTGTTAATGTGGTGTATTACATTTATTGATTTATGTATATTGAACCATCCCTGCATGCCTGGGATGAATCCTACTTGGTCATAGTATATAATCTTGATGATTCTCTGCATTTTGTTTGGCAGTATCTTACTGAGAATTTTTGAGTCTGTGTTCATTAGGGAGATTGGCCCATAGTTCCCTTTTTTAGTTGAATCCTTCTCTACTTTTGGTATCAGATAATGCTTGCTTCCAGAAATTAATTTGGGAGTATTGCTTCCCTTTCAATTTCATTAAAGAGTTTGAGAAGTAGCAACATTAGATTTTCTCTAAATTTCTTATATAATTCAGCAGTTAATCCATCAGGGCCTGAGCTTTTCTTTGTTGGTAGGTTTTTAATTATATCTTCAATTGACTAATATTGGTGTATCTAGAATTTTTATAGCTTCTTGATTCACCTTTGATAATTCATATGTATCTAGGAATCTATTTCTTCTGTGTTTTCCATCTTTCTAGAATACAGGTTCTTGAAGTAGGTATTGATGGTCTTCTGGATTTCTGCAGGATCTGTTTGATTTTACCCTTTTCTTTCCTAATTGTATGGATTTGAGTTTTTTCTATCCTTTTTTGTTTTGTTTTGCTTTGTTTTTGGGTACCGGAGATTGAACTTGGGACCTTGTGCTTTCGAGGCAGGCGCTGGAACCACTGAGCTAAATCCCCGGCCCTTTCTATCCTTTTTTGGATAAGGTTGACTAAGGGTTTGTCGATTTTATTCAGTCTTTCAAAGAACCAACTCTTCAATTTATTGATTCTTTGTATTATTTTTTAGTTTCCATTGCATTAATTTCTGCTCTGATTTTTATAATTTCCTCCCTTGTACAAGCATTGGGCTTGACTTGCTCTTCTTTTTCTAGAAGCTTGAGGTTCAACATTAGGTTTTTTATTTGAGCTCACTCTGTTTTTCTGATATGGGAATTCACTGCTATAAATTTCCCTCGTAGGACTGCTTTCATTGCATCCCATAAGTTCCAGTATGTTGTACTGGCATTATTGTTTAATTGTAGAAACTCTCTAATTTCTTCTTTAATTTCATCTGTGACCCATTGGTTGTTCAGGAGGGTGTTATTTAATTTCCATTTGTTTATGAAGTTCTTGTGGTTTCTTTTGCCGTTGATTTCCAATTTCATTCCACTATGGTCTGATAATATGCATGG